GGGCAGCGCTGGACTGAACACATCCATTGCAGGGGCCAGGGGGGTAGCGGCGTTGTTTGCCCACACATGAGCCCCCGGTTTTTTAGGGATATGTGGCGCCGCCACTGCACCCGCAACCCCGTTGCTGTGGTCCGCTCGACTGTGTAGCGGTGTGCCGCTCCAGCCGCTGGCGCTTCTATCCGGTATGAGAACTGGCGCGAAGACGGAGAACGCGTGCGGATTGTGCTGTGGACTCTGCTCCTCGGCCAGACCTCCAGTCGAAGAAGGATCAATTGTGCTGACCGACTGTGCCGCTGCTGTAGCTATCGTTGCGGCAGTTGCCGTTGACGAGGCTGCTGCTGCGGCTGTTGAGGTGCTATTCGACGCCTTGTTACTACTATTAGTCTGATTCTGACGACGTGGCTTGATGCCCGGCGATTTGAGCGGAATGTGTGGCCATTTACGTGGCTGAAAGAGATTTATAAATAATTGTACATTAATACAAAAATTGGTAAACCAAAAATATTCAAAAATTTAAGTATTAGCAATTATGCAATCATATAATATAGTTGATTTTATGAAAGAACTATGTATTTTTATGACATAATGATTTAACATAATATATCCACGGCAAAATAATCAAAGCTTAATGAAAAGCATGGTAATAAACATGGCAATAAACAAGATATTTAAAATAAATTGCAAATTCTTTTTATGCGTTGCGACTTGAGGCCATTTTAGGTCTTAAGGGTTTAAGACTCGAATTGTTTTACAAAGATTTTACTTCTTAATTTGCAGATTTTATCGCAGAGTATTTCGTTGACATTACTGATAAGGGAATAGGTACTTACAAATTTGGGCACTGTCTTGCAGTTCCTTGGCTCAATACGCATGCTTTCATTGTAGAGATAGTCGGACATTTGCTTGTCAGATAACCCGTTGAAGGGATCAAGCTGCTCGAGGAACTGTCGAATGGTGGACTCCTCGTTGAGGCAGTATGGCTGGTTCTGGTACTGTTGAATTTCGCCAATGATCTCTGCCACTTTTCGCCGCTTGGAGAAGTTGATTAGCTCCGTGTTGGCCAGCAGGTCGGGATTGCCCTCCTCCAGGTGCAGGATGTTGGTCAAATAGCGACCGAAGAATGGCACACATGGCGGATTGATGGATCTCAATCGCTCTTGATACTTTTTTAAATGATCGTCGCTGAGTTCGCGACACTCGTCCAGGAATTTCCTGTGACGCTCCGTCAGTCCTTGGAACGTCCACCGAAGCCGATAGACCGATGCTGTGCCCATTGCCGCGACAATAGAAAGGATCCCATTGAAATTGTTTAGCTCCAGCATCACCATCATCACCTCGATAGCTCGCTGCATGATCGCCAGACGCTCCTCGTAGTTCTCCGCCTCGGTGATGGACTTCTCTATCCAGCGCGTCACGTTGGTGGTGTGCTTCATTATTTTCAGTAGATTCGGACTCTTCACCTCTTTGTCCTTCTTAGTCCAGGGCGAACCGACAAGCTCCGATGGCTTTACATTCTTGTACATCTCGAACTCGAGCAGGGTGAGTTGGCGTGCCAATTCCAGTGGGTGCAGGGTTAAGAGCGTTATCTCGTCGTAGGGAACACTCAGATGATGCTCGATGGGTGGAGGATCGTGGCCATAGGCGTAGACAATCTTCTTATTGCTTTTCTCCTGTTCGTTCTGGGAATAATTTATTAGTAAACATAATTAAAATAATTTAATTCATCTTACCTTTCGCTGAACAATCTTGAGCACGGAGTCCACCCACTTGCGCATCGACTTGCCATTGACATTTGCCAGAAAGCTGAGGAGCTTTTGCAGCAGCATGGGATCCTTCTCAAAGTCGTAAAAGTGATGGTCCACCCAATGTCGGAGCACATTTAGCACTCGAAACTGTACCGGCTGAACGTACTCCTTGCGGTAGCGTTTCCAGTCCTCGCGATGCGTGTTCTTGTGCTCCTTGTTGTCGCCTCCAACGCCGCCCATCCCCCCAAGGGGTGCTGTGCCGGCGTCCTGATAAACCAAACTAGGATCAGGTATGTTGAAGCGTTCATCCAGCAGCTGCAACAGCTGCTGAGGCGAGCAAAAGTAGCGATATGTGGTGAGGAAGGTGCGGACGAAAGTTGGATCGGCGTAGATGTGGTATGTGAGACGTTCGATCAGTTTGCAGAGCGTGGCTCCCTTGATCATCGGCACTCCAGCACTCTCACGCTCCTCTAACACAATGTTGTCACCGCTGTCCGGCACCGCAAACTTGTAGATCTCCGGACTGGGCATTCGGAGTGGATGTTTCTTTTCTATATCCTGCAGTATACTATCCAAAATACGATCGAGCATCGACTTGGTAATCACCATTAGCAGGTCGGCCATCCAGTCGTTTTTGTGCTGTGCATTTTTGGCCGTCAACACGATAGCTGGCGGCCCGCGGGGGACCAGCTCGAAACTGTTCTTTAGGTCGTCGCTGTCTGTTCGATCGTTGATTTTGACGCATCGCATAAAGAACTTCTCCTTTAGTCGGTAGTCGTAGGTGGTCGCTCCAGCCGACGGCGTTTGCTTCTTGGTGTTTGCTTTGCACAACACCATGAGGCCATCGAATAGAAAAACTTTGCGCTCGCTCAAGATCCGCTTTCCCGATCCCAACTTGCACAGCGAATCCTCTGCAAAATTTAAATTTAGTTGTCTTTGGTTAGAGAAGCTTCTTTCTTTCTTTTGAGGATATCTCAAGGATACCTCTACCTATAGCCCGTCATTTTGTATTTTTCAAACCCACTACTCACCTCGAATAAATTCATTACAGTTCTGACCCACGTCCTTGTCGTCCCAGTGCTCTACCTTCAGCTGAAGCTCTCGAGTCCGCTCAATGGCCAGCTGGCGTCGCACTCGCCCTCTCACTGGCACCATGCGCTCCTTTGACAGGCTGGCCATCACCTTCTCGAGATCACAGTGGAGCGGATGCAGCAGGCCCTGGACCTGCTCGAAGCTCTCAATGTCGTCCTGCGACGAGCTGAGATCCTTGAGAAGGTTTATGTATTCAAAGTAGACGAAGGCATGACAAACGGGCACCAGAAGCAGCTTGGGCAGATAGTACTTGACAGCGTCTCCAAAGCCGTGGCCCGCAGATCTAAGAGGTGAGGCCTACACAAGATAAAGAAAGAGACTGATTAGTAAGGATTATAATTTGATAGGACTTAGAAGCAAACGTACGCCAGGCTTTGACAGGAGATTCGTAAGGGCATCCCGCGATTCCTGCGATGTAACATCATGCGCATACTTCTTGTACACGTCAAACTCCTCGGCCTCGGCTAACTCCTCGAAACAGCTGCCCACACATGGGGCGTTCTGCTCCTGCGACATCTCGATGACGTCTTCCAGGGAGCCGAGAAGCGTCACCGTCACTTCGTAGATATCCATGATGTTGGAGAATATCGGTTCCAGCTCCTTGGGGTCCGACACTACCTTCACAAGCTCCTCGCGGAAGACCCGTATGATCATGTGCAGGTCGCGCTGGTACTGCTTCTCGTCGTGAATCAGCTCCTTGACGGTCTCTTCGTATGTGGCGGTGGCACGCTGGGCGGGCAGCGACAATGGGCTTGGCAGAATTTGCGCCTCGCTCTGGTTCAGCATGTCCATGAGGACACGGTCGGCGTTCATCACCACCTCTATGTCCTCCTTGGTTATCTCGCAGTGCGCGATCCTGATCACGTAGTCACCAGCCATTTTAAGGATATCAGCTGAGATATACTCGAGGACGGCCACGAGGAAAGCAGATACCGAGCTGTCGATCTTATACTGCAGCACATCCTTTTGGAGCAACGTGTGCACACGTTCCGTGGGCAGTACAGACTTTCGCTTCTTCGAGTTAATCACCTCCTTGGCTTCGTTGAGGGCCCACTGGTCAATAGGGGCCGGAAATGATTTGTTCACCTTCTCCTCCACGTCCTGGACGGAGTGGGGCAGCGGTTTGGCGCACAACATGGCCAGCAGGCGCAGGCAGAGTTTCTCCACGTAGAACAGTGCATCCTCTTTGGCGGTGACGTGAGGGTGCACCTGCTCCAGCACCTTTTTCAGCGATGGCGTGAACAGGCCTCGCCAGCGGGCCGCGTTCTCGCACTTGGTAAAGTCGTAGCCGTCGCAATCCTGCAGACCAGCCCCGCCCCCTCCACCACTTCCAGCGCTGCTGCCCCCGCCCCCCAGCCCAATCCCGCCTCCGTAGCTGATGGTGTGGGCATGGCTGCCGGATCCGGAGAACATCCTATCCGCCGAGGAGCCGTCGCTGCGTTGCTGTCGCAGCGCACTCTTTCCTTGGTGCCTTCGCCTTCCCTCCTCCTCCTCCCCGCCCGATGTTTGTATTAGTCAAGCGAAGAGTGGAGCGGACCCAGGCGAACCCGAGCTTCTGGAGCGTCTAAAGAGTGGAACGGCGCCACTGTGAGCGTCGCATTTTTCACACACACCCGATTCGCGTTCTTTTTTAGCACCGTTCAATGGCGATTTTGTTTTCTGTATATGTATCTTCTTTTTTTTTGTGGTTTAAGTGAGGTGGTTCGTCGCTTGGAAAAATTAGTGTGCTCGCCGCTGTTTTTGGCGTAACGTCATAACGCCTCGAAGAAGTGACTGGAAAAATCACGATTTCTTATTTTCTTCTAAGCTGGTAACATTCGTCTCTAGGCGGCGGCAAGTTTTTCCCTCTTCGTTGTTTAAATAATTTTGATAAAACTCTGTTGTGACTCATTTAAAAAAAAAATAATATTATGAATTGTTAAAAAACTTGCAGATTTTGCAATTTCCTAAATAAGTGGTGTTTTTGGTAGCTTAATTTTTCCTCTTGAAAGATAAACAGCGCTTGGGGCATATGAAAAATATATAAATTGTCGTAAAAGTTTTCTGAATAATTTAAAATTACTACACAAATCTTTAAAGTGTAAGCATATTGGTACCATTCTATCCAGAACTGCAAGCAGTACTAAGTTGGCAGCACTAATAACTTTGACAGTGTTGGTAAACGTGCTCGCTTCACTGACAGATATTCCAGGAAAGAAGAAGCAATTTAAAAATCTCGTTTCAGAATGGTTCGTATTTATTATTTAATTTATTAAATTAATTCGGAACAGTCAATAAATAGGTTTCGCAATGGATTGCTTAAAAGTAAGCTATTAACTGGCTAGGCCACCTAATTTCCTTTAAACATTGGCGGGAGTATTCATTGAACATTTAGAAGCAGGCAAAAGATAGTAAAGTAGCAAGCTTTTAAACTTTATCATTGAAGTTTGCAAGATTGTTCTAAAATTGCTAGTGCTAAACAATCCAAAAATCATGACTTCTGCATACAAGATTAGTGTTGACCAAAATATGGAACGCGATCATAGCAACCTTCAGAGTTCCAGCCTGCTGTGGAACAGCGAAGCCATCGAGCAGTTGCGCCACCACTGGCAAGAGTATATTTCAGGCCTCAAAATGACGCCCACTGAGTTGCAGCTGTCAAAGGCTCGAGCCGATCGTGCACTCGATTTGGCCAGGTGCAACCAGAATAGGCGCTTGGGAGAGGCCTCACAGTCTTCGAAATGTGATCGCCCCTTGACTGATCTTTATAATTCCCCAAGGACAACATGCCGGATGAAGAAAATTCTCGACAAAGAAGTGCGACGAACCAGAATAGAAGTGCCTGACGATGAGAATCACTACTATCTTTGCCCTCAATGTGGACTTGTCAAAGACTATCGTCTAACGCACGAAAAACACGCTGAAAAGATGCGCCAGCGGCTCAAACGGCTTGTGGCAAAACATCCCAACCTGCAGCCAAGTTCCCAAACTTATTTGTAAATTCGCGATGATACAATAAATTTAGACACGAGGATATTTTATTTGGCGAACACAATGCTGACTATCTCTCCAGTAGTGTGCCGCGCTGTTTCTTTTGAGGCGGGGGCGCATCTTCTGGCTTTCCTTTGACGCCCACGTCGCTGAGTTTTCCGCCTTTCCGCTGCAACTGCTTCTCTATGATTCGCGCATTGTTTGCGTAGCTGTCGGCAATCTCACGCTGTTTGAATAAAGACAGAATTATTAAGATTGTCATGGATTTCTTGGGCTAAAAACTTACCGCTTCAATTTCGTCTTCCTCCTCGTCAATGGTGGACACCGTTACCGAGCTAAACTTGCCCATATTCTTTGTGTGTCTCGTTACCATGACCTTCTTTCCACTGGCGTCCACTATACCGGAATCCTCGGCGCCTGCGGTGGATCCAGCTGGTTTTGCGGCCGCAGGCTTTGTATTGCTCTTGCCGTTGCCCACTGAACTTAGGAGTTGGGCCATGGGCGCGTCGCCTTTGTTGCGTATCAGGGCATTGAACATAACAAAGGTCACTTGGGAGTCTGGGCTATGGCGATAGTAGAGTGGCAAATTGCAGCTGCGGCACTGCAGGATAATGGTAACAATTTAATTAGGGTAGACTGAATTGGATCAATCCAACTCACCTTATACCGATACTGTTTCTCTATCGCGTTGCCCCTACTCTTTCGCTTTATGTAGAGCATCTTTGGCGTGGGATTGTAGGTCAGTTTATTCGCGTGCTCGTTAGCATTAATCACACGGGCATTGTCCACCTCTCGTAGCGGCAACTGGTCCAGGGTGCAATCTATAAAATCGAGTATATGATAGAATCAATGTGTTTTTTCTGGTCCACAATCAGCTTACCCAATATCAAAGCCATCTTGCTGCACAGGCAGTAGTATATGTTTAGTGGTTTCTCCTCATTGTATTCTTCCTGGTCCTTAGTATCGGAGCAAACGATGCTGCGCGAGACTACTTTTGGCATGTTAAATTATAAATAAACTAACTTCTTTTAGTTTTAAGCGAATTTCAATAATCTGTGAAAGTAAATAAACACAAACAGTGTGACCGGAGTGTAATAAACAAAGCGTACCACGGTGAATATGAAGCGCTGGTCACACTAGTTGCGGTATAAATAAATAAATTATTTTAAAGAATGTGTGCTAATGGGATCGACAAACCGTCCTTACAAGATATAGCAACGATCTGCTTGGACAAATTTAAATCACTGCCAAAGACCGGCAAACCCACTTTGAACCAGTGGACAGTTTTAGCCGGGATTGTAGAGTATAACCGAAAAACTGATAGCCTTAAAGTGGTGGCTATCGGCTGCGGAACAAAGTGCATTGGTTCCTCCAAATTATGTCCCAACGGCTACCTTCTGAACGATTCCCATGCCGAGGTTCTAGCGCGTCGAGCTTTCCTGCGATATCTGTACCGAGAGCTGAAGCAGGAGGGGATTTTTCAGTGGGACAGCAAGCAAAAGCGCTACAAGATCGATGATCACTTGGAATTTCACTTTCTGAGCACTCAGACGCCCTGTGGCGATGCCTGCATACTGGCTGAGAGTGATGGAGAAAAGCCGGCCAAGCGTAAGAGACTGGATGAAGAAGCATCCGAGATGGTTTATACTGGCGCCAAGCTGATACGCGACCCCGAATCGGATGTAGCGTCCGATGACATGCAGCAGACGCCAGGAGCGCTGCGAACCAAACCAGGACGTGGAGAACGCACTTTATCCATGTCGTGCAGTGATAAACTTGCGCGCTGGAATGTGCTTGGAGCGCAGGGCGCTTTGATAGACTCGCTGATCACCAAGCCTATCTACTTCAGGAGCCTTAACTTCTGTTGCTCCGATGCCCATAGGGAACCCTTGGAGCGGGCCATCTTCAGGCGTTTCGAAGACAAGTCGTTCCAGCATACCAGATTTCAGCCCCAAAAGCCACAAATACGCATTGACAATAGTTGTGAACTATCATTTGAGCACGCTCAGCGTCTAGATTTGCAGCCTTCCCCCAATGGCTTGGCTTGGTCGCTTCTGCCAGAAGAACTAAGGTATAATCATTCCTATTTCCTTATTTTGTCACATAATTCAGTCCTAATATTCACAGACCCTATGATATTTCTGTTAACGGAACGCGACAAGGGGTAACCAAGAAGAAGATGAACACATCCCAAGCTGCCTCGGCAGTTAGCAAATACAGCCTATTTAAATCCTATCAGGATCTGCTTTGTTCCAATCCAAAAGTCAGCGACATCCGATCACAAAACGTGTTAGCTTTAGAGCACATATCGTATTTAGCCAGTAAAAATTTGGCTGTTGAGTATCAATTGGCGTGGGAACAATTAAAAAGTTGTTATTTCCTTCAATGGACAAATAAACCCAAGGATTTGCTGAACTTTACTATTAGAAATGTTTAGTGGAAAAGGAAATATGCTTTTTAAATCCCTCAAGTAATGATTAAAGCTTAGGAACTGTTGGATCAAATTACAATTGCAAGCGTTAACCGAAGCTACCTTCCTTTCTTGTTAGTTTTAATATTATATACATTTGTCAGTGTTGATTTTATATTTCTTTTATAAAACTGAATAGGGAAAGACTTAGTGTCACGTTCGCAAGGGAACGTTTCAATCAATAATACGACTAAAAAAATATATGAAACAGTTGTAATGTATGAGAATTATAGTTTATGAATAACTCTTTATATTTTCTCATTTCAAACTCATTTTTTTATTTAAAACAAAAAAGAGAAAAAAGGGGAGAAAGTTTTTAAACCTTTACCCTTTTGATAACAAAGTAGAGCAAATGCCCATCCTAGGTAATAAAGTTCCGTTGGAAACCGAAGGTAATGATTCTTAATGAGAAGCGCTCATACTACAGGTAAGGATGGTATAAAAGCATTAAAAAGCATCTATATGGATGCCTTTAGCGTTAAGCCCACCCTATATAAATATGTAACCGTGCATAACCTTAAGAAGTTACATTAAAATATGATCTCTTTATTTTACCTTCCAAACTGTTATTCTATAAAATACTAAACTGTCTAAGAACATCTTGACTGAATCCTAGTTATCCTGAATCCCTAAGCTATGGGATCGTCTGCTTTTATTTATTAAAAAGCAGATGCAATATTTACCATAAACCAGCTGTAAACGAATCAATCGAATACTTTAGAGTAATAATAAAAATGCGCTCCACAGTTTTTATATGCAACATTTAAGCGATTTATATTTAGTTTGTAATACCATAATAATATTAATCTAATTGTCATTTTGCAAACGTTTTACGAACAAACAAACGAACAGGCGTACATTTAATGTTACAGCTAAACAAACACTGATGCGAGTACGGATACGGATGCCCGTGGAGGCGGTATGCTTGCTTGTAGTACGAACTAGAGACGAGAATTGAACAGTGGGATGTGCTGGTCCAGCTCGAGGCGTAGTCCGATCCTAGGGTGCTGCTGCGCTAATGAATGCGATGATGTGTGAGGTGCGGACAGCTAAGCGTGTGACTCGAAGGCGTCGACTATCCAAGAGACGGCGGTGACCCGGGCTTGAGGCGATCAATGGCCACCGATCTCGCGCAGCTCACGCTTTCCCAGCGGCAGAGGGGGGCGGAAGTTGTTGATGACCTTGCCGTTGAACTCGTTGCAGGGGCACTCTTCCTTGACATCGTAGGCGTTCAGGTTGCGCATGGCGTTCAGCTGGTCGTCCGACACCTCGATGGGCGTCTTGAAGACGATCCAGATGACCGACTCGGAGCAGGGAGGGGTGGTCAGGGAGCCCTCATATGTCCAGTAGGTGTGCACATCGGGCAGCAGCTTGCCGGGATCGCAGCCCTGGGGCAGAGTGACACGGTCGCCCTTGTGCAGGACGAACTGCAGCAAGCTGCTCACCTTGTCCAGCTCGGCATGGTGGGCACCGGCCTGGAGGAACACGCCCAACACAGCCAGGCCATCGGGAGCAGCAGCAGCCTCGCCAAAGGACTTGTACTTGGTTGTGTTCCAGTGCACGAGGTGGAGCTCGCCGGCGTAGGACACACCGTCGACGGTGTGCTCCGAGCCCTTGGAGTCCGTGCAGCCCCAATGGCAGTGGAACTGCTCCAGCTTGAAGATCTGGTTTCCAAGCGGTCCACCAGTAAGCTCGGACTTCTCGCCGTTCACATCCACGCGCCAGCAGTAACCTATAAATAAATTATGAAAATTATTAAAATGTTAGCTTTAAATGATGCATTATCCCATTTACAATTACAATGGGTTGCCATTATGATGTGAACGAATTCTTACCAGGATTAACAAGGCTCTTAGTGTGCTCCGGCACATACTTCCACTTGAGGGGAGAGACCTTCAGATCGCTGCCCTTCTTGGCGCTGGAAGGCGTGATGTCGACGGGCGACTGGCGATGTCCCGACGCCTGCGGGTAGTCCTTGGCCCAGTGGGCGGGACCTGAAAAACGAAAATTGAATGGGATGGGTTAGGAGACACAGTCACTGCTGTCATTAGGTGTTTACTCTGGTATGTTTGCCACCTAAGCTAGGTGCTAATCCATCGATAAGGCTAACAATAAATCAAGTAAAATCAATTTAGTCTAGTGCTCGACGTTAATTAAGGGTCATTAAGCCAAGGAATCCAACCTTGATGGACTAGTTCACTTAAAACCAAATAAATGCTAGTTTAATTTTGACAAAGTCCCTTACTATTTTCCTAATGAGTCGTATTAATCATTCGGCTATTAAAGAACAATGATAAATATAAAAATCTATAATTGTGGATAGCAAAGTATTTTATACAATTTGATATTTAAAGTCGCAATAAATGATACAATTATTTGAAATAATAAACTTAAGAAAAGGAAGCTTGTACCCAGAAACTACTTTACTGGAATTAAATGTAGATAAATAAATAAATGATATAATAAAACTAGATAATTGCAGGACTTGTCAATGTCAACTATAATCTGCTGGCAGTAAAATTTTTTATGCGAATATCATTATTTACCGAAACATTGGCTCAAGATCTTATTTATGGGGGTGTCGCCAGCCTCGGCGTTTACTCAACTGGCAGTCATAATATTTGCATAGACTTTTATCTGACCAACCTACCGGCTGTGGCAACACAAGTATTTGCTCATCTCCTGTTTGCTGCAGTTTACGACTCGCATATGTACATATATAACGGTATGCGTATTCTTTTTAATTACTGCCATAGCAGTGTGCAAAGTCAGAACAAATGTTGACACAGAGAACCACGTCACGTGCCAGTAAAATCACTCTGAAGACCGCAGGCCCGCCCGGTCATGTGATAGGATAGGTTGCAGACGCACGATCCAGATAAACCGCAAAAGTATGGGCTGACTTTGTGTTTACTTGTGGGATCTGGAGGGAGAGGGGGAGCATTGCTTGTCTAAACCTTACCAAACAAATAACTTATAAATGCTCAGTTGCAATAATGTTAGTTTGCTGATTGGTTTCCTCGGACACAAAGAGGGTGACAGCATTCTTATCGAAGACAGCACCGCACAAAGCCTCATTTGTCATATGATAAATCACCGAGCTCAAGGCGTCAAAAGCTTTGTCGCTTCTCGTATTTATTTCACTGATTCCCAAAGTCCTCTATTAAATTGATAGTAAATTATAAAGTCAGGTGAAATGCATTTATCAAAGCCGAAATCAAGATCTTTATTCCCTTTCCAGGTGCAAAACGTTTATGCAATCGAAAATCGGGCCACATGTCGCATGAATGTCACGTATACGCCGTGTTAGGCATACAAAAGAACAAAAGAGTGAAAACTTTAGTCCCCATGCACGATCCTTTCACGATTTAGCAGCCAAGTGTAAATTTCCGGTGATATTTAGCACATTGCCGTTTATAATATGCAATCGAATTGAATTGTTGAAAACTTATGAAAATATCTTTTGAGGTTCTATAAGTTTATTTCAGTCCACTTTTGTTATAGAGTTGAAAATGAGTCAGAAATCTCCATAAAAAATTACAATATATATATATGAATATGTGGCTTATTTTCGAGTAAATAATGTGAATACTTAGAAGGCATTATGAGGCAAATATTTGCAACTCTCTCTCTCTACATTTAAATGTATATTTACAATCGCTTCTGTCAGGCATTTTGTTTTTATTTACTCAACTATTTTGTTACTGCCAACTTTAGCTGTAAATACCTTAAGATCACCTGGCGACATTTTTGCAGTGTCGGCGATAACAATGGACTGCCACAAATTAAAAGTAAAAGAAAGCAAATACAGGCAAGGAAATAGCGCACTTGTTTAAACAGAAAGGTGGAGATCGGAAATAACCAGTCTGAACTTGGCAATTTATGGTCTCGGGGTCCCTTGAAGCCGATTAAACAAGCCTTACTTAAAATTACTTTACTTTTTACTTTACAAACTGCAAATTTATCTTTCGGCACGCTCATCAAATAATGCATCATCGCTTTACACTTTATACCATTTCAATTAGGATCAGAAGAAACAAAGGCAACAGCGTAATTGTTGCCATTAATGCTGTGATAAAATCTAAACGGCTTTATAATTGAGTTACGGCAAACAATTTGCACACAACCATATCTCTGTAAATACCCCAGCAGAACAGAAAAAAAATTACGCTGTCAGGGAGAACTTGTTCCGGAAACAGAATTAACATGGAATCTGCAACAAATATTTCCCAGCGAGAAAGCGTTGCAGTCTTGACTTCCCCATTTGTCACAAGCACCGCAGAGCTAAGGGAGGATGAACGAAATATACGCCTTAGAACCTTTCCGACAACTTAAAAAGGCTATTAAGTGATATAATAAAAAGTTAGCTATTAAAATTTACAATTAACGAGCTGAACGTTCTAAGTGAGCCTTGGGATGATTAGATCTGCTGGGGAATCATCGGATTTGGAGGGAGGCATGAGTTTGTCGCGTGTTTTTTCCTTCCTGTGAGCGATCGTAAGGAAGTACTCGAAAAAACTGGTTTCGGTCGGAGACTCCACCTCCTGCCACCCATCCCCCTTGAGCTTCGAATTCCGAGTAGTGAGTCAGTATTTGATGATATATATGATATATATAACTGCAGTGCTGGGGCTTTTGTCTTTTTATAGGCACTCAATTGACCAGGCTAAAAAACGAAAAGCCTCGACCACTATGGCCCACAGTTGGCGCTTTAAGAAGCCCCAAAAGTGCCTTCGGGCCATGGCCTACCTAGGCCACGAACACGACATTTATCTAATGGAGAAGGAAACAAATAAATAACCACCCCATGCAACCCTTCAATCACCTGCTAAAATTTTTGCTGTAATTATTTTTTTGCATGTGAGAAACGGTGACAATAAAAACGCAAATGGAATAATTGAATTGCCACAAAAACCAAGGAAAACGAAATGGGTTCGTAACCAAAGTGCCTAATGAAAATTTTAACCTTTCAAGTGTTCAATATTCGAGATGAGAGAGTAGTCACGTTCAAAATTCATTTATGGGACAGTGTGGATCCATTTGAGCAATGTGTTTTTGGTTTTCCTAAAATTTTCCAACCCGAGAATTGATGCCTTGCTTTTTTATACAGATTCCCTTATATATAAAAGTATATGTATGCGAATAAAAATGTTGGTTTTCATCGGAATAATTTTATTAGCGCGCCCAATAAAATATCTGGATTGGCAAGTCAAGTGGTATATATCTATATAGCCGGCCAAAAATAATATCAAACTGGCGATATCTCTGGCACGTTCCTTGCGTGAGAAATTATTTTCGCGAGTCTATTTTTTGTGTTTTTCCAACCCTCTAATAAATATTGTCTTTAATGACCGGGTCTGGATTTGATCTGACGATTAAATGTTAAATAAAAACGCATTGAATTGATAGAATCTAATGAAAACATCGTCATTCTACTGCAATTTTATACTGACTCAATTATTTCGTAAGTAATTTTGATCCAGCCGAGAAATTGCTAAGTCAACAAAAATATAAATAAAAACGTTAGAGCTCCATCGATCATTTTGATAATGACAATTTAATGATACAACCATATAGTACAAAAATTTTGTGTTTTTCCTTTATCATCGCAAGATAAAGAAAAGTTCCGACAAAGATACCTCCTCTTGGGGGGGCGGTTAAAAGTAGGTTTAAACCAGTAGGGTCAAGAGCGTTACGGCACTGGCGATTTAATCAGCTGATATTGATAGGAAATCGGCTTCGGGACAGTTGATTGATCTTCACACACATGTGTGTGTGAGTAGCAATCTGTATTGTCCAGATGGAAGCGTGTCAGTTACCATTCAGACAGTTCTGACGGTGCCAGAGGTGAGACACAACCTGGGCTCTCTGATAAGGACGGCGGCTGCACTGATCGCGCAATCTCTGGCGAGAGCACAAATATATGACACAGAAGTTTCTCATGCTTTATGTGGGCATTCCGTCTTTTTAAGGGAGGAGCTTGCTGATAAGGCTCTTCTTGGGCTGGAAATTTACCAGTGCGGCGCGATGCGAAATCAGTATCGAAATAGGCATCGACATCGAATCAATCAGAGCAATCACGCCCAGTTAAGCGAATCAATTGAAATTGTCAAAAAATGGAAGTTCTCTTTCGCTTTCTAAATTGATATGTCGCTGTTTGTGTTATTTATCAAGCATACGATACGTGGACAAGGCAAGTTACGTATACGTGTATGACCAAGACTTTGGCCGCCGGTGGAACCGGTCCGGCCGTGTCCTTAAGCGCCGAAGAACATGCACTTGACAAGCAAATGAATCGCCTTCAAAGCCGCGAACAGAGACGCTCCGGAGACGGGGGCCTGGGGCTGTGCAGAAAGAGCCGAAGACGGAGCCAAATCGGCTGCGAAAACAATCGAATCGAACGCTCGATCGGCCGCTCGAGAACTCGAACTGCGAGTCGAAGTCGAACTCGTTTGCTCCGCGAGGCGGTTGACTCTGGCGGGGGCCGATCGGTGGGTTGGTGGCTTGGTGGGAAGCACCCGATCACGAGACTCCGCTCGTGCGAAACTCCCCAACCCAAAGCAGCGCTCCCCAGCGACTTAATTAAAACCCAATATTCATGAGTGTCCGCTTCTAATGACGGGGTCTGTTTGCGCAACTCATCGTTCACTGCTTCGACTTGCTTGTGAGGCATGAAATCGAAGTGCAGGGCGTTCATGAATTGCATTAGGAATTGCCTGGGAGGCATTGGGTAATCGGTTCTTTAGTCAACGTCGGAAGTAATCCCCACATTCGATACTCTTTCTTCCTCTCGCCGCTGCAATCTATAACCTCTCCGTGATAACGCGATTCATAGACTGATTTGGAGTGCGTTTAAGTGGTAAATTATCTGACTAATTGCCTATTTATTAAGGGTTTACTCACACATCGCTCTGGTTGTTTGTCTTTATTGTTTTGACGCTTTATTGGGTTAGGCTTACCCTACTCGAATATATATGTATATGTATCTAGCCAATATCTTATCGTTTAACGACTAATTTAAAGAGCCCTGCTGGATTCCAGGGTGTGACGTATTTCGTCAGATAGATAGATCATGTTTGTTTGCAATAAAAACAAAATGGGGGATAAATTCCTGTGTCGCGAGTATATACAAGACAACAGATGTTTTCTTTACAAAAGATTGCCGCAGTGTTGTTGAATTGTTGTGGAAATTCCGCAAAAGCGATCAAGAGCACGGGAGCATCTTTTCGTTGGGGAAGGAGAAGGAAACCGGAGAAAATCTTGTTATTGAGCCACGCATGCGCATCGTGTGCATATGACTCAAAATATTTAATTCGGAACCGAAGCAGACGGGCGATGTCTGATTAGACGAAGGCCAGACTACGGAGCAAAGTAAACAAACCGATGCCCAAAGCGGGAACCTGATTCGGATGCTGCCAAAACTCAAAACAAACAAGTGAAGTCCAAGAGCGAGTCCGAGTACGAGTGCGAGTGCGAGTGCTCTTTAAGCCAAGTCGCGAGAGCTTACCGTTCTCTTCGGTGTAACCCCAGTGGTGGCTCATCTTCTTATGGATTGTTTGGATTGTTTTTTTTTTGGAGGACTCTGGAGGTCTTTGGATGGTTGTTTCACTCGCGGATGGCGGCACGCGTCTGACTTTCCCTGGGGATCGCACCGATTGTTTTATAGGACCAGTAGCCGGGAATATCACCGAATCGCGAAACTTATGGAACGCTGACTGTTTGGTTAGTCCGCTGATTGTAGACTGCCGGACCCGGGCAGCGCCGCTGACTTGAAACCTGACGGCAACGTCGGCGGCGGCAGCACGCACCTTACGAGCGGCGGCAGCGGAAGAGAGCGGGCCCCATCGCCTTTTAGGAAAGAGAATGGGAGAGCAGGAGAGCAGGAGAGTCACCGAGTTAGTGAACTAAACTACCGCTTAACCCCCGAGTCGTGGGTGGTCAAGGGGGGCAGGCAGGGTCGGACGCCTACTGTTGCGGCTGCGGCGTCATTAGAACCGTTGACAGAGCGACCAGGTTCAATAGTTTGCCGCTGGCCAGCCGTACTTGAGCCCGGCACTATGGGGCGAATACGTAATAAGTTCGTTTTCGATTTCACAGAGCTGCCAGCACCCGGTAGTCGGTTTATTTGCACTAGCTAACCGTTTGACCTTGACTCTGGAGTGAAGGCTGCTCGGGATCGGTGGTCAGGATTGGATGAATCGGAAGGAAATCAATTAGTTTTTAATTAAAATCAACTACTTTTTGCGCGCCACGATCGATTGCATTTTAAATAGATCACGTGACTTTGATTTACATAAGTAATTGGCTAATTAACTTGTTACAAGAGTACAAACAATAATTTTTCCAAATATATATAATATTTAATACAAATATTTTTAACATTAAAAAGTTACACTTAAAGAAAAGAATAAGCCTGTTTGCTTATGTGGAATCAGTGCTATTTTCTTTTATAATAAAAAACACTCTAAAATAAGTTATGTATATTTATAATACTGACGAGAGTATAATGTGATTAAATAAATTTTAAAAAAAGGAAATACCTAAATTATGATTTTTATTAATAACGTACGTTTTTGTAACGTAATGGCTGATTTCTAATTGTAATTTTAAGTATTTTCTGTTTTTATTCAATTTGATCAATGTCATACCAAAAAAATTCTTTTAAAATTAAATGACAATATAATAATTTTATATTATAAGTATATAATAAATCAAGAAAATAAAATAATACATATCACGGATATCTGAGCAGCATTGATGTTGATTATTGTATGGTGAGGAAAGTTTGTTCTTGTTTATTTTTTAATTACCATATATAACTATTCATAAGTAAATTATATTTTAAAATATACAAATAAAAATAAAAATAGGGCGACTAGTAGTAGTAGTTTCTAAATTATATTTTAAAAGATACAACAAAATAAATCTTACGACTAACACTGTTAAAGAAATTTAATGCAATATTAAGTCATATTATACCTAAAAAAGACTGAAGGCTTTAGTCGCTCCGGCTCACATCATTGCAACAAGGAATTGTAATCGTTATTTCAATAAATATAAATACCAAACAAAATATATTCCTAGAAATTGTGCAGCTCATGCTCTGCCGTTGAAGTAATTTTTGTTTTGCAACCATTTTAAAATATTTATCACTAGTGCGTTCCATTCCATTCCACTGTGCTTAGACACTTTGTAAATTGCTCCATACATGCCCGTAAATGTTTTTTTTTTTTTCGGTTTTGTTGTTGAACTTTTGTGCATTGTTTTTGTTGCTGCTGTGGGACTTAAAGCGTGATCGCGATCGCGCGTACTGAAACGCACATATGTACATACTTTCACAAGTTTTTTACATATATCTCAATATATAAGTATCACGGATCGTGGTGGGGGAAATGGGGATGGGCATGGTGCTGGAAATGGCGATGGCGAAGGCGACACGCTAATCGTAGCATATTTGAGGGGAACCGGCTCTCTCTCCGCGGGGACTTGGTCGGGATGGTCAGGGCGAATCGAAAAGGGAGGTAAGGGATGGGAAGGGGCCGGAGGGATCCATAATTTCCATCAACGCGCTGCTCTCATGTTATTCCATTAGTCCATTAGGCTGTGCACAGTCAGCGCTTAGCACGAAGCCACTTCAGCGAGTTAAGAGTAGAATTTGTCACTAATTTCAATTCTGCCCGCTGCTGTTGTTTTGTTTTCTCTGCGATGCACAATAGAATATGAGTTGGCTACCCAATTTCACACACATTTCACATTCGGGCTTCCTTTCAGCTCCGATCGGGGATACGCTGGCCAACATTGCGTATGCGCAATTAATTCGGCCCGTGTGAAATCTTCTTGTGGCTGTTTGCATTGGGCTCAAGTCTTATCGCACTATTTTCACAGTGCGCCACCGGGCTTGTTTTCCAATTAGCCGTGCATTATTATTTGCGCTTTTCAACCCCCGCCCCAGATGCCGCCCCCAGTCATCCCAGCGAACCCCACCTCACGTGCAGTTCTACCCGTTTGCTTCCGCCTTTTGCCTTTCCGCTCACCGCTTTGCAAAATGGAAATGGGAATGAAAATGGGAATGCGAATGTATCTGGTTAGAATTTGATTTAAGCTCCCGCTCAGACAGCCCACTTCAAGGTCGAGTAATTATTGTTAATGTGAATTAACTGAGTCCATGTGACGGGCAAAGTTTTTGGGTCGGAAATGGGAACAGGAACGGGAACGGGAACGAGCACTGTGATCGGTGCAAATTGAATGCTAAAAGGAGCAGTGGAAGACGTAACCACAGTAATTTCTGCACAAATTAAATAGATTTGCCCTTATTGACAGACTATTCAGAAAGTCAAATTAGCAACGAGTTAGGGGAAAATTAATACAAATGTTTAAGTAAACAAGTAACGATTTCTTGTGGGGAACCATATAGATAATATTAGATGTCCTTACTTATGTATTTATATTGTAAGAAGAAGGGGGAAGAACTTGAGAATGCTAAATCAGAGATCTTTTATCATATACATATTATCTGTATGCCAGGATCAAGCACAGAATGTCAAGCTTGTAGCATGATAACAAAACCCAAATGTAAAGCAGGCAGAATATGTAAAAAGTAAAGGTATACCCATCGTCATGAGTCTTTTATTCTCTATATAAAGAGTCTAACCGATTTATTCCACTTATAACTATTTTATTTAATAATGTGAATATACATATACATAATTTAAATGATAAGGTTTATTTTGTATTAATCCTGTTCTTATTTTCGTACCTAATATTTATTATTTTGCTTTATATTTATATTTCTTATAACATCAACAACTTTAGAATAATAAGAAAAAGACTGTAGTTGAAAAAGTAAATATTTACCAGAAACTAGAAGATTATTTTTGGATATTTACACAGATAACTTTTATCTTAAGAGGTTACTGTTTTCATCAGGAAAGATTTTAGACAGTTCAAGCAACTTTTCAAGGCTAGGGCAACGACACACAGTGACCTTTTTATTTGCAAAAAGAAACAATAGTTTATTATTTTTTCTTAATCATTTGCTTCGACAAAAAACTTGGTTAAACCTCCGTACAAGAAATCTTGTCAGTTTCCTTTATTATTTGTAGGGTAATTGGATCATGTTTGTTTCTTAAATTATTTCTGAGCTGGTAACACGCGTGGCGAAGGATTTGTTTTTATTCTATTTTGCCAGCAACTGTTGAGCACAATAATTCACTTTTATTAGGCATATATAAGAGTACGGACTGCGTGCTTTGTTAAAGATCTTGAACTTTAGTTTGCACTTGGCTTAAGTTGGATTAAGGTGAGATTTCATTGTTCGGTGGCTCTCTGTACTCTCTCTCTCACTTTCCATAGAAAATATTTGTCTTCCTCCGTGCGTAAGCGCTCTCAATTAGCACCCATCAATGTGATACAAATCGCAAATCGAATCAGAAAGCGAGATCGAGATTAAGTTTCCACTGGAATTGACATATTAACAAGATTGATTAGCGTGTGGCCAAGAATTTCCAAATCACACACGAAAGCCTCTTCCCCAAAGTAATCTTATTCACACAAGGCCCATTGATTCCTACCCGATCTTCTCAGTTTTGGCCAGTTTGCAGTCGGTGCTGCGTGCTAATCGATCTGTTTAACCGACAAACAAATAACAGCGCAGCGCGTCAGGAATCATACCATGTCATGTGTCATGAATGTTGCCAAAAACAAAACGATAAACTTGTCTTGGAATATTCCAATGGACTCTCTTGCCTAAACAACGTCTCATTCCAAGCAGAAAAAATTACTTTTTGAGGCTATTAAACATAGAGGTGTCGCGAACGCATTAACTTAAGCTTATTCAAAGATTTAATTACCATCAAGGTATGCTTATGCTGCATCGAACTTAAAAATACTCTTTAGTGTGGGTTAGGAACACTAACTTGTGCACGGACCTAGTCTATAATTAAAATAAATTAAAAACGTCAAAGATAATTTGTGTTGGAGCTACATGTTAATTTGTACAGATGTGCTAAAGGTACATATTAAAATATTTAACTAATAAAATCACTTCGAAATTAGTATGCCCTACGTTCCGATATTTAATACACTTTGATCGCATTCCAAACATAAAATCAAGAGACTCTCACATTCGTTCAAATAAATTCGTAGCACATATCTCGGTATAATAAAAATGCCATAAATCTGAGCACCAAAGACTGGACACATGGCAAGAAGCTTCACAAAAATATACGCCAAATTCTAACCATTTAATTGGCTTTGTTGTAGATTTCATAAAAAGAGAGAAGCGCGTGATATTTTTGAATTAAAAACTAATTTAGAGGAATCGCGACCGAAATATAAAGATGCCACATATCTGGCGCACGATGAAACACACAAATTAACCGACCACATCCCACATTTATGTAGTACATACCTTGAACTTGATCTTAATATGCGTGATAGGTCCACCTAAGAAAGAACTCGTACAGATCGCATTGGTAATAGATTTAGTATTGTATATTTGAAATATATATATCTGTATAGATTTTGATTTAAATTAATAACTAGCGATATACACAGGCTGCACAATATGCTGTTTAATCGGTATTTACGCTACACATTTATCGCTATCAATAATAGGTGAATATTAAAGTGTGTGGTTGTGGTTGCTCCTGGGAAAACAATTTTCAAAATTCGTAAATGAAGGAAACTATATAGACACGCACACATTAAAGCCTTACATAGCATTAGGATAACTATGTATATAAAAACAACAACATTCCATGTTAAGCCTAATAAACGTTACATATTGCCTTATGTATTTCCTTTTTTTTTAAATACAATAAAAATATACTTATGATTAGGTGCCAACATAACAACAAAGCCGATGGAACCAAAAATAGTGCACAATAAACTATGATTTGAGGGAAAGGATGGGGAGGATATCGTTCTATTAACATGGCCGAGTTAATTAGCTAGACGGCTGAGGAGGCTCCTCCGTGACTATTTAACGCTCATTATATTAAATACTGGACCGATGCGCATGAACACACGCCTAAGGACACTTCTCAGTTCGGGCTTGAGGTCGAAGCACATCATCTCACACAGCAAACTGTAATAGTTGGACACGTGCGTTGCAAACTGAAAGGAATTACAAAATTTTGTAAAATTAGTATTCATTTATAAATGATCAATTTATTCTAATTTATAATTATTATCTACAAAAGAAGGTTGGCATTGGGAACATACGTATATTGACATAAAAAGTTTAAGTATCACATTAAAAATACTTTGAATATAAATTTGCAAATAAAACTAATCTTTTCATCTTAGAACATCAATATTACCGAATATGTAACTAATAGATAGGGAAACATTAAAAAACTAAACCAAAACTGTCATTAAAAAAACGGTTGATCTTTAAAGAAGAGCGAAAGACACACGAGACCATTTGTCCCTTAATGATGCTGTTTTTGGAAAACACAAACTTTTCGATCTCTGGTTCTTACTCATTTACAAATTTTAGTTTAGTTTATTGTTAAAAGTAACTTACCCTAGCATCGGACATCTTTAGCAGTCGCGTCAGTATGAGGAGCAGTAGCGATGTCCAGGCATCCCGGTGGGCCTCGCTCTGCAGGCTCAGATAGTAGCCCAGCGCTTCCTTGCACACCTGAACCAGCTCCTGCTCGATGCCCGGCCAGTCGCTGCGTCGGTTCTCATCGCCGTACATCTTGAAAAATATGCGCAGGACGCAGGCCAGCGACGAGGTCTCCTGCTTTAGTAGATTCGGCTTCACTGAACCTTTGAACCCTGCGCGCCACAGAAGGCTTCGCTGATCGTGGTCGGCATTGAAGCGTTTGGCAAACCGATGAGACTGCATCAAACAATCGGCCAGAGTGAGCAGCTGTCGAGTCCTTAAGTAACCGTACATTCCCTGCTCCTCGCGCTGACACTCCAGGAGCTGTGCCTGCGATCCGTTCCTTCCCCCAGTTAAGTCCGCAGCTGCTTGGGCCAGTGTTTCGGCGTCCTCCTTCCGGGATGTGGCCGGAAAGAAGACAATGTTATCCATGGTCTGAATCAGTTCCAGCTGCACCACACAACGGATGTGCAGTGCCTCGAACTGGTTGTGATCCTGTGGTTGATTGTTACTGGAATGTGCTTTTGGGCGCCAGCTCAGAAGCTCCTGGGGAAGTGTAGCGTTGAATATATCCAGGATGCACTGACAGGTCTTGTCCCAGGTGGACTCGTTGAACTTAAAGCCATTCGAGATGACCAAGTTCTCCAAGCAGTTGGTGCCGGATCGTGCCAGCTGCTCATTGCTCTGCTGAACGCACCAGTGCAGCTGGGCGAAGAGCTCCTCCAGCAGCAAGTGGCCGAGAACGTCAAAGTATTGCGTGAAGACATCTATGATTGCGTATAACGCATGGTTGCAGGTGGTCGTCATCCACTCGGACTTCTCGGTCACGTGCTCCGGCAGCTTCATGTTGTCGAAGATGCGGAAGATGACGTTAAACAGATCCTTCCACCAGTTGGGCTTGAAGCTCTCCCCATACGTCTTCACAATCTCAAAGAGCACCGTCAGGGCTCGGGTTCGAACGTCAAGCTTGCAACGATTGACCACGCACGAGAGCGAGAAGAGCATGGGGAACCAGCCGCGCACCCACACGCGATCCTCCTCCGCCACCGAGGCGTCGTTCTCCATGCCAGCATGTTCAGCAAACAATTGAGGAGCCTCGTGGACACACTGGGCGCAGGTACGCACTAAACGGATGGCCTCCATGCTGGTATCCGGAAAGCGGGCGGTGGCGAACTCGGACAGGCACTTTACAGCATCTTGGAACGAGTCCACCATGATGGCAAACTGGCGCTGGTACAAGTCCCCAATGATCTTGCCAGTGGTCTGAAAGGCAAGCTCCACAATCGGCTCCTCATGGTCTCCCGCGGCGAGGTGGAAGATGCTGAAGATATTCTTCCAGCCAGAGCGAATATTATGCGCCTGCGAGTTCACCATCTGGGCGATGCAGCGCACTACCATGTCCCGAATAGCCGGCGATGCGTTCTTCTTCATGATGTGCTCGAAGGGACGCAGAAAGTCCTTTTGGAAACGGAAGTTACTGAACTCGCCCTTCTCCATGAACTTCATCGACAGCTGACGCAGTGAGTCCAGGGCAAAGAAGGAGATCTCCTCGTTGCTGTTGCATCCAACGGCATTGAAATGCTCTCCCAGCACTTGCCAAATGCGTGACCATTGCAAACGGATACGCTCCATGTTGTAGTAACTAATCTCGACGATCTTCTGCAGGGAGAACATCCTTGGTTGCGGCTGTTGCAGTTCGTCCACCGAAACCTGACAAAGGGCCTTTACAAAGTCGACGATGGCATCGCCATCCAATCGCATGGAACCGGTGAAGATGCGATCGACAGCCACCACCACGCTCTGGCTACTCGTCTCGCCGATGTGCTCCTTCACGCTTGGATTTAACGAGTCCTTTAGCGTGGTTTGCGCCCCAGAAAGATACTGGGGCCGTACTCCGGTTCCAATTAGCTGGGCTAGCTCCAGCTGACTGATACACTTGACGATATCCAACCAGCTGCTGCCTAGGTAGTTGCCATCTGTGTGGGCTACCATGATTAGCGTCTTGATGGTGTCGATATTCTTAGCTTTCATCTCATTGATGGGCGAGTTCGCATTCAAAAGAGTGAACCGCGCCAGTGCCTGCACATAGGCGTCCCGCTCGAGCGACATGTGGAAGATGCAGGCGATCCGAATGGCACAACGGATTCCGTCTAGACAGAGGGATGCAATTTCCGGATCATCGCAGTCCTGTAGGCCCACTGAAAAAGCGGCTAGGAAGGGTGTCCAGGCCATCTTGAACATGGGACGCACGTGCTCCAAATGCTTCGCCGAGGTGAAGGGCGACTTGACATGAGAAACAGACTGCATCAGATTGGTTGCCGTCAGGGAAATAACCTCCATTTCCATATTCCATAGAAGCTTGCGACGCTTTTCCGTGATGAAGGCTTGCTTGCCCAGAGGTTTAGGCTGTTGGAGCATCCCCGAGTTGTTTTTCATCTTGATCTCGTGCTCGGCAATCTCGTCGTAGATGGAGGACAGATACTCCTCAGGCAGATCCCCCTTGCTGTCGCTGATTCCGCGGTTCATTTTGATATACTGCTCCTTGGTCATCTTGTGCTTGACCTGCGGCGAATGAAGGTCTGTAGTCAGCATGATGATGCTGAAAGCCAGAACATAGACCGTGTCGGCGCTCTGGAAGAGCTGGTTTTGCGGATTGCACTCGCAGTACCTGCTGGCAAACTTCTCCATCAGCCGATCAATCTTCTGCGCCTCGCCCGGCAGCCGGAACTCCTCGAGAAGAATCCTTAGAGCGGCCACTATCTCTAACTGCCGAAAGTTGAAGTCGTCGATATAGGCGCACATTACCGCCTTGGAGTGGTCATCGTTTTCGCCCAGATAATTGCCAATAACTGTCTTATCCAATCGCTCATCCTCGTGCAGCCAGTGGGCAATGTCCTGGCAGCTGGGTCCCAGCAGCTGCTTTTCCTGCAGAAACTGGACGCCCTTCTTCGGTTTGCGATTGAAAAGTTCTATGCCCGTTTCCATGACTTCCTTGCGCATCTTGCGCTCCTCAAGCGCTTCGGGAAGATCCTGAAGCTGCTCCTGATTCGAGTTGAGGCTGTGGCTGGAACCGCTGTGCGCGGTTTGGATGGTTATATCCGCCTGATCCTGCTCGGTGGCCGTTGGCGATTGTACTTGTAAGGCGGGAGCAGGCATGTTGGGGTTGACATACAGGTCCTTGCTCCACTCCACCATGCATTTAAGGATGGAAACCAGACACTCCAGGCCACGAATGCGCATGGATTTCTCCTGCATGGGATTGGCGCCCAGCTCGAGGGCCTGCCGCCCCTGGGCAATCTTCGACAGATCGTTGACTAGTCGCTCGAAAAGATTTGCTGCAGAGAAGTCGCAGTCGTAATTCACATAGATATCCACCACCGACTGGGCATCGGCACAGATCCGTGTCAGCGCCTGTATCACCATCCACTTGTGCTCGAAGCTGCTGGAGTTCGCCTCCAAGATGTTGAGGAATATCTCCTTGAAGAAGACCTCGATCTGGCGCTTTAGGTGCACCTTGAAGTTGGACAACAGGGCCACAAAAATCGACAGCGACAGCTCAAAGACCTCGGGCACAAGACTCACGCCGTTGTTGGACAAGGCCACGCACAGATACTGCTTGATGGCCATGATAAACATCTCGTTTGAGCGGAAGACCGGTCCGGCATTCTGAAGAATGAGCAGCAATAGGTGCAGCGACAGCACCTTTGAGCGCAGCTCATGTGACTTCGGATCCGGATGACCCTCCGGCAGCGGTTTCATCGACAGCTTGCACAAGGAACGGAACACTAAAAAGGCATCCTTTTGCAGAATGTGCGTAAACTTGGCCGTTACGACCGCATCGTTCTCGCTGTGCAGTTCCACGCTGTCGTGATCAGAATGTGAGGAGGAGTCATTTCCATTGACAATGGGCTCAGCATCTCCGCCGGATTCCTGATCCTTCGTGGCCTCATTATAAGCGGCTGGAATTTACAAAATACGATATATAAATTGAGTAATCAAAACCAGGTGGAAGGAGCGTCGCACACGCCTTATCGGAAATATTTTTCAGTCTGACTCATTGGAAACAGTAATTGAATTAATAAAAATTTTAAAATAGTTTAAGGTGTTACCTCAACCCCTACCACGCACCTGTTATGATTTCCGCAAGTATCTCGGATGCAATAACCTCGTCGGCATCTCCTAAGGCCTCCTCTCCGCCACCATTGGTCCAGTCCTCGGAGTGAATGCTGCCGTTCATTTGATGCGAGGGCGGGGGCGGCAGCTCGTAAACCTGGTTCTCCATGCGGGCAAAGATAACGTTCAGCATTTGGGTAAGCGTTGCACGGGCCGTCGTCTGGTTCACCAGATTCTTGCTGGACAGGTAGATGTCGTAGCAAGTGCGCACCGCCTGGAGTAGCGTGGTCTCATGGATCTCCACATGCTGCGACGTGACCACCGTGAGCAGCGCCTTGATGATCTGCAGCTGGACACCCTCATCGGTCTGCGGCCCGCTAAAGCACCCATAAATGGTCACCACGATGCGGTCTATGAGCAGGTGACCGGGATTAGCCGAGTCCTGGATAGAACCGGTGAGGTGGCCATAGGCAATAAGCTTCTGCAGACAGTCCAGGGCCGTGACCACTATTCGTGGCGAGCGGCTCTTGCATGCCAGCTCGAAGGGCAAAAAGTAGGTTTCCGCATTGATGATGCTCGCGGCATCGTTCTTTGGCAGCGGGAGGGCGGCGCAGGGCAGCTCGTTGCCCTCGGCGATCTGTCCGGCGCTGATCAGCTCCGCCTTGATCTGCTCCAGCGCCGAGTCGCAGGACTTTTTCAGCTGCGAGTGGTGAGAGCGCCGAATGTCCTTGTCGGCAAGGATCTTTTCTAGAGCACGCACGATGAACATTTCCTTGGTCTTCGTGGAGTTGTTGTGCATATTGGGCCGCTGCCACTCCCAAGGTCGCCTCCGATGGGTGAGTTTCCGTTCCTCCTCCGCCTCCGGTTGTTGTTCGCCCTTGCCCTCTCTCCGCTTCCGACCAACTGTCCGCTCCTCCCCCTCCTTCACTCTACGCGCTGCGAGTGCGGAAACGACAGCAACGCAACTTTCGCTGCTGCCTTCTGGTGACCTCTGCCAGCTGGACAGGGGTGTCTTCCTCGAGTTGGTTGTGAACACGCGGCACTTGGCGTGTTACTTGCGTGTTGTGTGAGTTTGCATTTTGCAAATATCACACTTTTTCACATTAAAATATTCTTCAAAACACAATGCGAAAAAACGTCATCAGTAACGAAACTGCCCAACACTAAAAAAGGTTTTTTAATCAGCCTGGCAGCACTGGCTTGAATCAAAATAATACCGCAAGTCCACTAACCACATTTGCAATCGATATCGAAATAACGCGTTTTCAACATGAACAGACATATTTTAGAATGTGTTATATAAACCCAAAGATTATTCGAAAAATTTGAATTAACAGTCGTGAAATACAACTTGCATTTGTTTGCAATATAATATTACTTTATTCTTAGTATATAGACATAACGAGATTTAGCAAGTTGTCGAAACAAAGTAAAACAATTTTAGATTTTTTGAAATTGTATCTTGGCTAAGAGTAAACATTATGATAAAATCGTTTTATAGTTTAAATGAATTGCAAGTAATTGAACTAAATTTTTCAAAGGTAAATTAATTAAAAAAAAAAAAAAAACAATTTACTCATTTCTCAAACGCTTTGATGACATCGATAGCTTGTTTTCTTTTTGAGAAAAGCAAAAAGCTTGCTAAATTAATGGTAGACCGTACGGCGGTTTCGGGTGAAAAGGTTATGAATATAATAAAAACTATTTTTGTTTAAATATTTTTTATTGAAAAGGTAGTATCTAAAAGTATTAAAGTAACGAATATAATAAATAAATATTCAATTTTCATATATCTTGCACACAGTTAATGTCTTTGATATTAGTCTTTACACACACACACGCATTAAGTAGAAAAATCCTGCCGACAGAACTGAGTCCAAGTGAATGCCGGTCGAGAGGATCATATGTGCCTTTTTTCGTATTTGAGATTCTCTGTTAAAATGAAAACTGGCCAAGGAACGTGTTAAATGGAATTTGTACAGGTGATATATTGAGAGATGTTGCCGCGGGAAAGGCATCATGATCCCCCCGACGACAGTTTGGTGCTCAGTCTTTTCGATATGCCACTCCAACCCACGCTCATACGTGGCTGAGGACTTCCGGGCTTCTCTGCACCGACGATTGGCGTGACGTTGATTGGGACTTGTCCTGTTTGTCGAACTTGAGGAAAATATCCTCCAGCGTGCACTCGTTCACAGAGTAATCCTCAACAATGTCCCCTAGCCGATCGGCCAGATAGTCCTCCGTTATCTTGAACACATCCGACCATTGGATCACGCTTTCCTGCGTGCTCACAAAGTAAGTAAGCGTGCCGGCGTGGTTTTCCCGCAGCTCCAGTCCTGGGAACTGCGACTTTAGCATACTTGTCACCGTGCTCACATTCGACTCGGTTTCTGTCTTCTCCTTCATTTTAAGTTTAATGGTAAAGCCACTTAAACGCTTTAGGGCGCAGATATTATTCAGACACTTGAACTGACCGTGCGCCATGATAGCCAGTCGATTGCACAGCTCCTCGCACTCGTCCATGCTATAAAAATATAATCAAAAATTTTTTTATATAAATTCAAAGTTTAACAATAAGGGAATCTAATTTCGGCAAGCCGAATAATAATATAATATAATAATAATAATAATAATATTCCCTTTCATTTATGACAACATATGGCAAACCAACAAAACTATAATTTTATTTTAACCTATGTTTGATTAGTTCATGACACCCATACTAAATATTTTCGTTCTCCAAAAAAGTTAGAGGCAGACTAGATCGACTTGGTTGTTGATTCTGACCAAGAATATATACATATGCATACATACAAATATTTAAGTGCATTTATAGATTCTTTATTAAATAAAATGATTATATCTTTTTATAGGGATGGATGATGGAAAAAGTATAAACAAAAACAATATAAATAAAAGTTATGCGTTGACGTCTGGATACCCATTTAGGATTTAAAAACAAATGTTATTGGTATATTATGATATTGAATTAAATATTGATATTGAAAAACTGATATTGACAACGCAAAAATATTATTTTTTGATTATCTGCCATATGTGATTATAATTACAACGTATAATTTCCGTTTCTCCCCCTTTTGCATTTGAAATCGACTGCTGTTGCCAGCACACGCATTCCTCAATTCAAGTGTTTTACTAGTTAATCATATTAGGCGGGTAAGTTAATTGATTTCTGTTTAATTAGTTTATTTATTTGGACAATTGGTTGCGGAGTTTGGTTACCTAGTGCGACATATGTAAGTGGATTACCGGTACATTGTTGCAACTTTTCTTCAATGCCATCTGTTCCTTGTTAAAGTTTTGCAATTTAAATCTAAATAAATATGTAGTACATATGTACATACATGTTTATATTGTACCTGTGTGAAAATGATTAAAACCTAATGGTAAAAATTAATTTTTTGTGAAAGTTTCGCGAGTCACAAAAAGCACAAACTATCGAACTAAACAAAATAAATATACATATACATATTTATGTATATATGCATATTTATCAAAACAATAATTTTACTAGGCAAAATATATATAAATTTAATATTTTATATTTAATTCAAATAAAGTAAGATAACGGTTTAAACTGATTAGGATGGATCAAAATTCGCTGTTCATACGCAATTTATTGCTGCATATTAAAAAATCAATTTTCATTCAAAATATAAAGTTAAATTATATTATGAAATTCATAGATCATCTTTGCAAATCATTTTTTTAATAAAATTATTAATAACCATTATAGATTGTCATACAGTCCAAGTTCTTACTAATATATATTTTTTCTTAGCTAAGGTAGTAAAAATTTTCTGACTCAAAGCGATGTGCCTTAAAGAGGCAATATGAAATGTTAAGCGAGAACATAGGTGTGTAGCCCAGAAAAAAATAAGGCATTTCTAAAGACACTTTTGGACCAAGGATCCCAGACCAAGGATCAGATGGGTGAGGGTAAACTCGAGGCAAACCAAAAAATTTTGGCAAGGTGTTTGGTCTTGCACAACTATTCCTAAAAGGTAAGGCAAAAGATGTTGCAGTCGAGGTGTCGTTCCCGATCCAGCACTGAATTCAGTTCAGTTGAATCCAAAATAAACATAGGCACAAAAGACGCCTACGTAAGTAGAATATTAATACCCAAGACTGTGCAATTCATTATCTATATTAACAGATTAAAGCCATAACTCATTTACTAAATTACAACACTCTTCCTAAATCACTAAAACGTGTGTTGGCAGAACCACTTCTTTGCGAGTTCAACATAGATGGCGTGAATGGGAGTTACTGGTTATATATAATTTCACCGACATCACGATTTTCATGATTTATTTTAAGGATTTCTAGGGCATTTCAAAAGAATCCTTGCGACTTCCCCTAGGATTTCTGGGAATTTTAAGGAAACAAATCTCTGGAGATCTCAAAAGCTTTCAGATTTTTTCCCACGGATCTCCTCAGGAATCATTCGGCGATCGGATTTAGATATTCTTCGCCGCAGCCGCTTCATATACGTATGTATGTACATATGTAAATGCCGGTCCGTTTAGTATAGGAAATCTGAGATTTCGAGAGACGACCCAAGATTTCCAAAGGGTGTATAGGATTAAAACTGTCATTCAATTTTTTTTTTAATATTACGCTCACAAAGTTGATTGTATGATTTGTATAAATCACTTCAAATATAAGGTCTTTGGAAAATACGTCTTCATGCTCTCTTGAAGCAATTTTTTTAACGAGCAGTATTTAAGTGTACGGATGAAGTGTTTCTTTGAGCTTATCAACTTGTCCAGTGCTTATTACACATAATTGCCCATAAACCCCGTAAAATCTACATAGCGATTCGATTTTATACGCATTTAAGCTAGCGCTTAACGCTGTTCATCACCGCGTTTCCCGCGACAACAGCCAATCATGCATTTTAGACTCGAAAATCATGCGGAAAACTAAAATATTTTTCGAAAAATTAGCTTACCTGTGCGAAGTAAGCACCACAGTTCGTTCCTGTCCTTGAAAATCCTTAATGCACTGCCATAGAAATCGTCTCGAAATTGGATCTACGCCGGTGGTGGGTTCGTCCAGAAGCACCAGCGTGGGTGCCCCGATCATGGCCATAGCGGCCAGAAGCTTGCGCTTTGTGCCACCCGAATAATGCCGCACCTCCACCTGCTGATACTTGGTCAGATGCATCTTTTCCAGCCAGTACTTTACGTTTTCCTTGACGCTAGCTGGCCCCTCACCGGAGCTGTTCAAGCCCCGCAGCAGGCCCATGTAGTGTAAGCACTGCTCGGCCGTCATAAACTTGTTCAGTGCATCATACTGCGGACAGTAGCCAAAGCGGTGACGGTAGGCTACTTCATCCTGCTGAATATCTATGCCATCTATGCGGATGCTGCCGCCATCGAGCGCCAAATTGGCAGCGATCATCTGGAAGGTACTGGTCTTGCCCGCTCCATTAACGCCCAACAGACCGAAGCACTCACCTCGCTGTGCCGCAAAGCTCAGTCCGTTGACAGCCACCTTATCCTGGTATCGCTTACGAAGGCCACTCACAACCAGCGGATAACCCTCTGACGGGCGCTTGATTAGCTCTCTGACCAGCTCCTCCTCCTTGGCGCAATCAATTGACACGTGTGTACCGCTGGGACTGGTGCGCAACGAGTTCTTTTTCTGTGTGAACATTGAAATGTTTCGGAAGAAGGCATCCTGCACTTTCCGACGCAGATACATGTGTTCCAATATGACGGTGAAGAACGTCATGACGAGCACACACACCGCAGTGGCGTAAGCAAAGAAAATCTCTTCGCTAATTAGATGCTGTATTTTTCCAGGACCCACGGCCCGTCGGCGAGTAATGAAGTTTTCATTGATAATGCGAAGCTGATGGTTTAGATTAAAGTCCGGCAGGAAGCACAAAAATGCGATCTTTGTGTCGTGCAATTTCATCGCGGCCGCGTTACTGGAGGTTATTAGAGGGGCTATGGCTAAAGAGGAAATAATTGGTTAGTTTTAATAATAAATACAGCCTAGAAGTGAAATGTTCACTTACCCGACACAATCAGCATCAGGAGCAAGTAGGTGGATATAGTTGATATGGACTTGAAGTTGTTGCCCAAGGCATATAGAATGGGCAGATAGCTGCATCCGTAGAAGAAGATGCTGGCAGCAATCATCCTCAGCTCCATCTTGGAGTAAAGCTCGGCGGGCATGAACAGCTGTTGCAGGATAAGCAGGGATACACAGATTACGGCCAGAGTCAGCACGTCGAAGGTGAAGTGGGCAGCCCAGTAGGTGAATCGTGACATGGTCTGAAGCCTGCGGAAACCGTTCGCATATTCCCTGAAGGGCAGGGCAATGAAATAAAACATGCAAAAGAACATTCCCACGGACACGATGACCGCATAGTACTCCAGCCGAGAGGCGCTTATGTCGCTTATAAAACGCCGGATAGGAACATAGGTCGCATCTATATCTGACCCTGGCTGCTCTAGCTTTAGCATTGCGGAGTTCACCAGATTAATCAGTTCCACAGAGCTATGGTAGCGATTCCCGGAGAAGTAGATCTCTATTGTGGGCGTCGCTACATCGGTGCCACCGCCGTCGCCGTACATATCAATAATGCCTACCACTTGTTCAAGGAAATCGGCCAAGTTGTCTCGTTGTAAGTCGAGGGATTCTACATAGAAAGCAAGTATATATATACAATTATTCAAATTCCCAGCACAAAATGTGTTACTCACCATTTTTAACATCGTTATCCCCACGAACCTGCATTGTTTTTGCTGTGATGCCATTTAACTCGATCTGCTGACGTATTTGCTGCTCTATCTGACCATGGTGTCCCGTCGGATTGTATATGTAGACGATTCCACTGCCCATTTGACTAAGCTTCAGCGGCAAAGCCTCCTCGTTTTCCACCACGGACATGGTGTGCATGGCGAGAATAGCTCCAAAAACGCATACAAAGGGAAGGCACAGCTGACGCGATGATAAGGGTAACAATGGAAAATTACTATAACGTCGTAATGTAACCTAATAATCTTTGCTTATCAGGCAGGAATAGCCACAGGAAAATGATATGTATACATATATAATAAATCAAAAACAAAATATAATATATTTACAAAACTGTAATAATGCGTCATTATATATAAAAGTATTTGTAGATATTTTTGGATCAGACTGATCGCGGGAATTGTAAACCAAACAATCGCAGGTAGCTCTTGGTATAGATTGTTTCGCTATGTATTATGCAGTATATAATGCTTACCATGATCAGAGAATACAGCCATTCTTGCGAGAGAAACGTCCACTTCTTGTAAAACACCGCCAGCCAAAGCTGTAACATGCTGGGTTCAACGTGTTGGCTTGGCAAACGCTTATAGGGAGTCAAGAGCGGCATATCATGGCGTGATCCGTCCGGAGTATCCACCTGGTCTTGCTCTCCGGCACATCTGAAATATGGCAAATGATTATTTTTGTAAACTCCTAAACTGTAAACTTTGAACTCCTACTTTAAGAAAACATCTTCCAGAGTTGTGTCAGTCATGGAAATTGTTTGAATGCCCAACTGATTCATGTTGGCCTCCAGCTTATGTAACATTTCTGGGAATTGTTTTTTGTACGCATACGGCAGACAGATATTTGCAGTCGGTTTCACCACATTCTAAACGGAAAATATAGAAAATATTTATCGAGGAAAAATCGAATTTAAAGCCAAGTTTGTATATTTTATGATCTTACCAGAACGCTGGCCGGTGGCACATAGTCGCGTATTATTTGCATGATTTCGTTTTCGTGGTACGAAAAATCGCTGACCTCCAGTTTTAAGCGATAGCCGATGCCAGATTTACGCTTCAGCTCCAGCGGGGATCCCGTTGTCTGCAACTTGCCATTGGCGAGAATGCAGATGGTGTCGCCAAGCACCTCGGCCTCCTCCATGTAGTGGGTGGTGACCAGAATGGCCTTCTCCTTGCGCAGATTCAAAAGGATGTCCCATAGTTCGCGTCGTGAGTTAATATCCAGTCCGGATGAAGGTTCGTCGAGAATTACAATTCTGCAAGAAATATAAGACTCTTAGTATGGTCTACCACAAGACCAAGGCGGCTGGCTCCCTACTTGGTATTTCCAGCAATGGCAATGCCCAGGGATAAACGTCTTTTCATGCCACCAGACAAGTTTCTTCCGAACTCGTGTTGTTTGTCACTCAGCCCTAGCTTCATGAGCTTCTCATCCGCCCATCTACGGGCATTGCTGCGAGTTTCTCCGCGAAGTTGGGCAAAGAACTCCAAATGCTGGTGACAGGTCATGTAGCTCATAAACACACTGTGCTGGGGACAGAAGCCGATCAGGTGGCGATACGAGGCCACATCACGCTCGCTGCATACAACTATTTTGCCCGAATCCTTCGGCACCAGTCCTGAAAAATTGCGGGTCAGTATGCGATTGATTTCATCCTAAGCATATGATCATACTCACCCATTATCATGTTCATCATTGTGGTTTTTCCGGCTCCGTTGTGCCCCAGCAAAACAGTAATCTCCTTGTTGTTGATTGTCATACTTAGGTTGTCAGAAATGAGCGTTTCTCGTTTACTTGTCTGGAACTTCTTGCACAGCTCCGTAATAATGATGGCATGTGTGCCTCTCGGTGCTGTCGTATATTCATTGCGTTGCCTCTTTTGATAGGTTTTGGGCTAGGAATACAGGAATTTGGAAATACACTTAGGCAAATACTTGCTAAGACTTAATTTACGAGTTGAACCGTAACCGAAAAAGTAAGATTGCCGTGTTTAACCGATTAAACCGAACCGCAACCGAAACCGTCACTGAAATTAACCGAACCGAATATAAAGCGATCAATTTGACATTTCTCTGAATTTAAGAAATATAAATTGATTTGGAGTACGGATGTCGATATTCTGTTTCAAATATATAATGGATACTAAACATATAAACCTAACCTATTCTACGTACGTCTAAAAAGAAGAGAAATGGGCGCTTCAGCCCGCCCGGACCCGGAAAAACGCAACCAAGGTAGTTGTAGACCAGGGCGTACATGAGAGATTGGAATAGCAGGACAACGTAAATCCAAAACATTCGACTGGAATCATATTTGATTTCACGGAAGAGGTCGGCTCCGCCAAATGTGCGATCTATAATGGACGGTTAAGCATAAATTAAAAAAAATTTCTTCGCATTATGGCTGTGTAATCTTACGCTTGTTGGAAAATGTCTGGAAAACGTCCAGACCCTCTAGAAAAGCATTGGTGCTAAAGAAGAAGAAAGCCAGCGAGGTGGCCCAGCTGCGAACAAAGGTAAACACATATGGAATGATCAACATCACCAGGCCACCAATCTTTGCATAAAATACTGAAAAGGAATTAAGCAGGTCAAGTAAAGCAGATTAATCAAGCAAGAGAATGTTTGGTTACCTGAATGAAAGCAAACCGATATAAGGTATGCATACGACATGGTGGCCAAAATGTAAAGCAGGAACAATACAGCCACGTAGGCGAAACGTATCAGTCCCAGAGCCTCGTAGCAATAGGCAAGGATGAGAACGAAGAGAAGCAGCGCCGCATAGCACACGAGACGGATGAGAAAGAATGTGAGACCATTAAGGAAACTCATGGGCGTGACTAAGTTGAGAAACTCTTTTAACCCGTTCTGCTTCTCTTCCACAAAGGGAACCACGAAGGTGCTCAGCAGAACCACGCTGAAGATGACGCTGAACAAGGTGCCAAAGTAGGTGAGTCGGTGACTGTCCATGCTCGCAACCTCCAAGTTGGGCATGGAACTGACCAGTATATTGTAGTTTGGCTCCAGCCCCTGATACTTCATATATTGTTTGTCCAGTATCTGCTGCAGGGTTAGGAAACCTGACCGAATGTAGTCATCGTCGTCTGAAATAACAAAGAACAGAGGACAAGGTAAATCAGTCGTTGATCGCGAACAATGGGAAGATGCCGAACGGACTACGAACCTTTCTGTCGATTGATTTCCTCGTCATTTACAAAGCGCTTCCTGGGCGAAAGGCGCATATGATTAGAGCTTATGCTATATCGGAACTTTCCGGCGGCACCACGGCTGGGTACCTGCTCAAAGTTGATGGTAAAGCAGCTGCCCCTGCACTGCTGTTCCAGTTCCAGCTGCATCTCGGAAGTGCTGTTGTAAGCACGAAAGCCTAAGCCGAAAATATATCATGTAATTTAATCAGAAAATCATCATCAACGTATTTATACTTACGTTCTTGGGTAATCTGCAAATCCAAACGTAGCTGGTCCACGATATCCTCCACATTTTCGGTGCTGGGCGCATAGTACACATAGTCAAAATCATTCCCGGGGAAGTACATATGTTTCAGTACCAACTAGAGGATTGATAATAATGGAATTGTCAATCAAATTGCTATCATGGGACCCATGATAACAATAATGCAAGCACGTAACTTGCGAACTTCCGCTTTCTACTCACTTCATTTTTGGACTCGAAGTCCGTGAATTGGGGCACAGTGGGCTTTATGGACCAGTGCAAATAACCCCATAGTACCCCGATAAGTCCAATGCAAATGCACAGCAGTGGCAGGAAATTGTGCCTCAAGTAGAGCAGGTTCTTTCGAAGAAAGACAAAGAACAGCGGGCTGCAACTGCAAGCCATTGATAATCGATGGGATCCGCTTTCCCTAGGCCCCTCTCCTTATTCTTTTAATTTTTTATTTTCACTTTTGTTGTGACGAGGCGTCGTCATACGCTCCGCCTTGTGATGTGCTAAAAATTAATCTATCGAAACATACATACACACCTCTAGTGTCTGGCCCCAAATTTCCCACAACTGCAAGGGAATAAAACATTTATATTGTATGTCGTGGTCCAACGCCCCAATGACTGCACTATAGTAAAATGCACAATGCATACATATTATTCTATATTATATTATATATATATCTCAGTAATTCTGATTAGGAAGTCAGCTAAAAAAAAGCTAAATATTATGTACATAACAAAATGCATTCAAATGTGTACAATAAAAAGCTATCCATTTGTAAGTGTAAGGGATCAGCGTTTTAAACAAGTTCTTATTAATGATTTGTAAAGTTAGGAAATAAAAATAATTCATAAATTAAAATAGTCAATCCAAACGATTATGATAAGGTGAGAAACTAGCCAATTCGCCATTGCTGGTCGCCTACATATATTTCTATATCGATAAATCGATAAATAAACGATTGGTAAATAGTACTCAGTTTGCAACAACAATAATGAGCGACTCAAAATTGTTTCCAATAAATCTTAACAATCTTTCTTCGAAAGAGAGGCATAATTATATTCTTAAGCACTATGTTCTTAATTCACCGGCAGAGGCGCAATCGCGACGACATAAAAGAGACATTGACGTGATACGGGAGAACCACCGCTTCCTGTGGGAGGAGGATGAAGAGGTGGACACCGATTCCCTGAGTTGGGAGCAACGTCTGGCCTTGCGGTACTACAAAAAACTCTTCAAGGAATACTGCATAGCTGATCTATCCCGGTACATGGAGAACAAGATAGCCTTGCGGTGGCGAACGGAACAGGAGGTGGTCACCGGCATCGGGCAGTTTCAGTGTGGCAGTCGACATTGCGGGGAGCGGTCGGATCTGCGTAGCTGGGAGGTTAATTTCAAGTACATAGAGAACGGAGCGCCCCGGAATGCGTTGGTTAAGGTGGCTTTCAAAATATTCCAAAACCTGCTTTCTGCTTATTCGGATATTTAATCATTTTAGGTGCGCCTTTGTCCCACGCACACAGAACAGCTGAACTACCGCACCAAGAAGAAGGAGTACAAGAAGCAGCGGCGTAGGGAGAAGGCGGAACGCAGAGCTGAAAGAAAACGCAAACGACGGAAGCTTAATACGGAGGACGAGGTTTCTTCCTCCACACAAGGCGAAGAAGAGGACACGGCGCCCCCAACGTCCTTGGATGGTGAGGCTGAATCGGAGCAGAAACCAGTGGAGCAGGAGGAACCCACGGCAGACGAGAAAATTTGGCTGAAACAACCAGATCTCACCCAGGAGCAGCCTTCCAGGGAGCAGGAATTCGAGAGATATCTAGAGGATCTACTTTTGTAAAATACATAGCACACATTTATTTGGATTCAACGTATGTAGACACTAGTGCTCTTTTTATAGTTACTGGCCGCGAGATGCTTATGAACTAGGATGTACATGTACACTACTCACATTTACAGGATTATTATTCACAAGAACTGTGTGTTAAAACCGACACCAAATCTGAAGTTGAACTGGACATTAAGGCTGTGACTTTGTGTGTTTTGAAAACATTCCGGACTGCTACTTGGCCAAACCGTCATTTCTGTACTCATCGAATGAAAAGCAGAGGTTCAAAAAATACATACACTCTGACGGTTGGGGTTAATGTGCGTTTCTGCGGTGAACAGCACAACCAATTGTTTAAATCCAGCCGCTGAAGCGTTTCTAAATATAAATCGCTCTAGAATAAATAGCCTCCCGACTGTGTTTACATTCGACGAGCATAGAAATCTCGATTAAGCACATCCGTTTTAACTAGGCGTAAAGAAGACTCGATCTAAATGTATACAGATAGCATCATTGAACGGACAGGGGCTGGATCTGTGGTACTGCTACTCTTTGGGCAGAAGTTCGGCGAAAGCGGCTGTCGGCTTGAAGCAGCTCACCTCGGTGAAAACCATCTCGCGCCACTTCTCCACCGGCAGCTCGTTCTCCTCGAAACTCTGGTCGTACAGCGCGGCGGTCTGCTCATCGGACGGGTCGTGGTACTTTTCCATGTAGGGATGGGCCAGCGCCTGCTCAGCAGTGATGCGCTTGTCAGCGTCCAGCTCCAGCATCTTCTCCAGTAGGTCGATAGCCAACGGATTTGCACCACGAAAGACGTCGCGGAAATTGCGGCGAGGCATGACCGGCAGAGACCGAATATAGTTTCTGGCGCTCTCTGAGGAAATGCGGCTCATGAATTCGTCTGCCGGTGTTCCCAGCACCTCCATAATCAGGTTCAGCTGGTGAATGTGGTCGGTGCCCGGAAAGAGGGTGCGACCAGTGAGCAGCTCGGCCATGATGCAGCCCACGGACCAAATGTCCACTGTCTGGTTGTAATGCATCCAGTTGAGCATAATTTCGGGCGCCCTGTACCACCTCGTGGCTACGTACCCGGTCATCTCACTCTCTGCCGGCCGGGCCAGGCCGAAGTCCAGAATGCGCAGCTCGCAGTCCTCGTTCACTGCAATGTTTGAGGGCTTTAGGTCGCGATGTATGACTCCGGCACTGTGGATGTATTTTAGGCCCCGCAGAATCTGGTAGACCAGGAACTGGACGTGGTCATCCGACAGCTTCTGCGTGCGTATAATGTTGTTCAGATCGGCGTCCATCAAGTGCGTCACCATGTACACCTGCTGGAACTGATCCAACGAGTCCGCTGGCTGTCCCGGATGAAAGACGTCGAGCAGTCCGATAACGTTCTCATGATCCATGTGCTTCAGAAGCCGTAGCTCCCGGTACGTGCGCTTTGCGTGCACCGCCGACTGGAAGGGCCTGGCCAGCTTCTTGATAGCCACCTTGGTGCTACTTCCCCGAACTACTGCCTTGCACACCTGGCCGTAGGCACCCTGACCCACAGGTTGTAGGTTCTGGTATGTCTCTGGGATCTCCCACTCGGTGCGGTTAATGTCGAGCTTGTAGAACTTGGCTATTTTCCGGGCCATATTGTCTAGGATTCGTTATCTTGCGATGATTCCTTATTTATTTATTATGATTTCAATATAGCTCTTGTCTACTGATGCTTCTTCTTGCTCGCGGGAATCGTTATCGGCCTTAACATTTCTGGGAATGAGTAATGCGGCGGGGGATTAGTATAAAGGCCACAGCAAATTTACCATCCCTCGGTGTTTTTTTTTGGCGGGGACTAAAACTGGATTACTGCTTACATCTTGAGGATTAACTCTATCTTCATAAGCGTAACTCCCACACCTTTTCTGATTGGAAAATTGTTGTTAGGAAGGTAGTATGTTAGATAGTATTTTGCCAATCGATAGCAACAGCTTGGCCCAAATAATAATCAGCTGTTGCTCTTTTATACGTTAACAGGCTCATTTTGAGAGTTTTCCCTCACTAAGTCAAAGTCCATTAGTTACGATTTCTAATTTGGCACCTTCTGCGTCGTAGTTGATATGCAAATTGTATTAAATATTATGTCTATACGATGGACTTTGATTATTATTTATTGGTTTTGGGCGAAACGAATTTATATTTAAAAAACGTTGATCTCTATTAGTATACTTTTGTCAACAAGAACAACTTCAGAAAAATTATTGTTTTCTGTTTTCTCGAAATTCCTTTATCAAAAGTCTTGTGCCATAACACATTAACATATTTTATTTTTTTCTCTGATTTGCGACAACTTTTGATAAATACCTATGGCGCCTTGGATATTGTTATTTCCGTTTTAATAAGGATCCTTAATCTTTAATAGCAATAAATAAAGTTTAAATTGTGATTTTAGAAATCAGCGCAGTTCTTTTTGAGCTCACATATTTTTATAATGATATGATATCGTATTAATTAGACTAATCACTTTTCACAGGGAAAATAAAGTGTGTTAATTAACTAACTGCATGCAATATGAACAAAATTAATGATTAAAAGGAATTTGTTTATATAATTATGGTAAAATACAATATATAATAATGCAAATACATATATGTACATTTTTATGGTTTCTGTTTTGTAAATTTATAAAACTTAAATATGTATAATTTTAAGCCCCATTGGACCACTCCTAAAATCGTGCCCCTTCTACAAACAACATGTAGAACATTCCCTCGTCGACCATGGAGCTTTTGGGGCTTAACATTGCCCGGCAACAGAAGTCCAGCCAGTTGGAGTACACTGGCTTAGTTTCAATCGGTCGTTTGGTGGGGCTACATCAGAGGCCCGGATCCCGACGCTTTGTCTGCCGGCGTTTTTTGCACGAGTTTTTTCCATACGTATTTTGTTCATTGACAAAAACTCAAGCTGCGCTCTGTGCGTGCGAGTGTGTGTGAGCGCGCGCTGGCTGGTGTGTCCGTGCCTTTGAGTGTGAGTGCGCTGCTTTGTGTGCAGAATAATTTTTGCAAACATTATGTAAATGCGCAAATTAAAGTTCAATCGAAGCTCGACAGTCAAGAGGCCAGTTTGAATCCGAATCCAGATCACCCGGGCGTTAAATGCTAAGGCGCAACGGCGACAGTTTTGAAAATAAATAGCTCCGAGGGTAGACCACTAGAGGGCGCTGCCTAGAACAGTACACGACACACATACACTCAGGATCCGATCGAGCGAAGAACCGTTAGTGGCCGGCCAAGAAATCCAAAATGGCCACGACAGCGGCCGCGATGGCAGCCACCAGCGTTGTAGTTTTGGATCGCGGCAACAACACAACCTGCACCATCAACATGCACGGTAAGCAGAAGCAGAGTCTCGCGATATAAGCTAAGCAACAATTAATCATAATTAACGAAAACACAGGGCAACGCAACGGCAACAACTGCTGTGTGCAGGCTTTTGCCAAAAGTTGTTGGCGTTATTTTTAGCGGATGATTGGCCAGCTCTTTTCGGCTAGTAAGCTAATAAGCTGATGGACGGACTTTCGTTAACCCGGGAGTTTCCGAAATAGGAACCCGTTTCGCCCCCTGTTGACGTACTCCCGACCTCTGGAGGTTATCACTTCGTTCTCGAAACAACCTTGTCTACACGTTCCTCAAACTGGCGAGCGTTTTTGCTATCTTATCAGCCAAGATCGTCCAGAAGCGGGCACTGCAATGCTAAGCTGTTGGGGGTAAATAAGTGCTCTGGAATCGGCTCGGTCTTGGGCCAACTTGGAGCTCTGTTCCCAGCTCCTACTCGTCGCAGCACATTTCGATTAGGCGTTATGTGTACATAGGCACACACATAGGTGTTCACAGGCCCCTCTCTATGTGCACCTATGGATGTGTGCTGGTACCCAGCGTACTTTCAACAATTACGACTCGCTGTGTCTGGCCTGCCCACGTTAGTTTCGTAGTCGTTCGTTCGGGTTTGAGCAACAGTCAGACAGTCAGAGCCACAACAGCATTTGTAGTTACACCCGAAGAAAAAAATACAAAAAGTAGGCACCTAAGATGTCCATATTTTCAATAATCTATTATTGTAGATTAGAGGCTAGAGACACCTTCTAAAAGACCATATTTGTATGTAAGCAAAATTCTGGGAATACCGTTATCATTACTCTGGCTATCGTATGAAATATCTTTGATTTCGAGTAAACTCTTCTATATGTTATAGACTTTCAGTATACTTTATATATTTATCTAATGAGTATTTCGATAATAGCCATAGTAAGTTTTAAGCTATTTAATTTGTTTGCTTTTCTGTACAAGTCACTAAACTAAATTTGACTGAAGCTAGTAAATTAAAGTTAAAAAAGAAAAATCATATTCTGAAAAGTAGTTCTCATCGCAAATTGAGGCGATTCGGCGAAAATTTGGGAACAGCAGCAGTTGGATCCTCCCACGCACTTGAAGTGCGCACCCACCCATTGGCCGTGGGCCATCGTCATACGCTCTGATCCATTCCGGAACCCAAGCCTATATCCCAGGCTTTAACTGTACCAGAGAGTCGGTTTCAGCCAGTTTGCCTTTAGACTATAGACCAGTTACTTACTGGCGCAATACAGTGCCCGAATAAGTGTGTGTTGGCCCGTTGTGAGTATGTGGGTTAGAAGTGTGTGCGTCATGTACTTATCACTGCCGTCTGTTGTTGGTTAATTCCCACAGCAAATCCAGCTTTAAATTCATTCATTGATGAACCAGCTCAGGCGTAGTTTGATCTCTTTTCGGCCTGCCTCATTCACAAAACTCTAGATCGGTGGTCCTCTAGCTGGGATCCCAAAGATATCTTTACCCTGAATTATGCATGTTAGGGCATCGATTAAAGTGTAATTAATGTAATTAAAGTACTGATCTTAGGGAAGAAGAGAATTCAAAATGATAGATGGACACAATTTCATTGAACCAATTATTCATTTGTTCTTTTTGGATTGCAGGTGCCACAGTTGTCTCCTGGCGTGTCAACAATCAGGAACAGTTGTTTGTCAGGTGAGTCTATGGTGGGACCTTGCAGCAGGGCAACCATTAAATATTGCTCATACGCCGCGCTGGCCGAACTTTAAGCTCGAACTTACGCAAGCCCACAGTATGCGTTGGTCATGCAACCAAAAAAGTGATTCGCAAAGTTTCAAACACACACACTCATAGAGTCAGGGAAGGGGCCCGGGTTGGTTGGGAAGGAGCAGCCTTAGCCATTCTGTTTGGCGGCAAAATGTTTTTGTATGACACCCAACAAAAAACACGTCGGGACCGAGCGGCCCCAAACGTCGAACCAACGAACCGAACCAAAGGCGACCGAATGGCAAAAACACAAAAACACTGTGGCGAAGGGGAACAGGGGCGGAGGGACAGGGCTGCAAACGGGGGCTTTGCCGGGTAGGAGCCGTTGCACTTGCATTCAAACTGTGGAGCTGCCTGCCTGCCTCCATTGATGTCCGTTTTTTCGCACTGTTGCTGCCCACTCCTCCGGCTCTGGGCTTCCCTCCCTCTTCTTCTTCCCTTCTGGGCAAAACAATGTGCAAGTTTTTATGAATGGAGTTTTTGGCGCGGCCAAGCTAGATCGATAAATCCCCACTACACGAGTCCTCCGGCTGGCACAGTGGTCCGAGCCCCGCCGAATCTACTCCAAATGTCAGGTTCCTTGGATCCCGAAGCTTTCGGCCGCTCCCACACGAATATGTACGAACCCATTATAGCGTTAGACCCTCGTTCTCGCTCGTTACCAATTTTTTGTTCCGTCTGCTGGAAAGTTTTCAACTGTTTTTGTTGTCGCCGCATTTGGAAACCCACTAAAAACCGGCAGTGGCTGGGAGCCCGGCAATGGCCATGGACGAAACGAGGATGAAGCTGAAAACTAAATGAATTATTTGCCTGGTTTCGGTCTCAACTACATATTTAAATGCAAGTACGTTTACTTAGCGCAGAACAAGTAACTTTTTCTAGCTTTTATAAAGGATAAATTAGACATATTTTTCTAAAAAGGTCTGAAATTACCATTGGACTTTAAGTAGCACTGCCTGCTAAACCTGCTAATAAATACTGAGTAAAGCAATCATAATTTAAACGACCTCTTTTTCTGCATTAAAAGCATGTAAAGTTAAATATTATTTCTTGTATAAGAAGTCGTAATTATTTGTTAAGCTTCTCCCTCAAAGTCATTTAAAATTGTCAAAGATTTGCAGAAATCCCACTTTACGTCAAAAAATATCTTGGATATTAATGGCATTTACTTGTCAAATGCGTTCCACAACTAAAAGAGATTACAAATGATGCAGAGAAACTTAAGGGAAAACAAAATCGGCAGTTTAGGTGGAACCAGAGGCAGAAGACGCTTGATGGATGCGTCGGCAAATTAGCTGAGAGGAAACTGAAAGCAGGTTCCAACGCCGGGCAACGTCATCTTCAGAGAGGAGAAAAAACAAAACAAGACAGAAAAAAAAAAAATAAATAAAAGAAGGGACAAGGAGCATTTCGCCAGACACTTTTTTCTGCTAATAGCATTTCTGAATTTCTGAATGTCTGTCTGTCTGAGTCTGCAAGTGTTTTTATGGCTGAAATATTTTCGAGTAGCGTCTAACCGAATTAATCGAGTCTTTTCTCCCCACACCAACCATCTCGTCTTCCCTCAGCAAGCTAGCCTCCTTCGATGGCAAAAAGGCGATACGCGGCGGGATTCCCTTTGTCTTTCGTAAGTTTGCCAACACCAAGGACCTTTGCAGCGCCATAACCTAAAGTTTCCATACAATTACAGCTCAGTTCGGTGCTTGGTCCTTTGGGCCGCAACATGGATTTGCGAGGATTACGCGGTGGCATCTGGAGAGAGCACCGGACAGGCTGCACAATGGCGATGTTGAGGCAATGTTCTCCCTGATGGACAACGAATTCACGCGCTCCATTTGGAACTACCAGTAAGTATTCACCTATGTAAACAATACGAAATAAGTAGATGTAGACTTAAAATTAACATAGGGTTAATGTTTTAGGAAGCAAAACCGTTAATGAAAAATATCAGTCAATTTAAGCTTCAGAAAGCTCCAGAAATATGATATATCGAAAAAAATAATCCTCTTAATATATTTTTTAAATAAAACGTACATTGTAATAGACATTTTAAAAAATACTCGTCCCTATTATATCGGTCTGCAAAAACATTTAGATGGAAATATCAGTATAAATTTGTTAATATCTTCTTTCATTCCTATACTTATATTTCGAGATTAAGGTTTGGAATGATAGAATAACATAATCATCAATCATAATCATAATCATAGAATAACATAATATATGCATATATTTAGCTTTGGTAAAAGTACAATATTGTTGAACCTTTGAAGGTTCCGCATCACCTACCGCCTAATCCTGCGCGAGAAAGAGCTTCACTTCCACATCGGTGTCTACAATCCCAGCAAGGAGCTAAGTTTTACATTCAACATGCTGTTGCACACCTACCTAAAGGTGCCTGATGTCCGACGGTGTCAGATTACGGGTCTCCAGGGCTGTCACTTCATCGACAAGACGCGGGAGAACGCCCTTTACCAAGAGGGACGCGAGGTGGTGACTGTCAATGAGTGGACCGACCGGATCTACCAGCATACGCCACAGGAGCATGTGATCACCAATGTGGTGTCCGGCCGGAAGATGAGACTGCACAAGTACAATTTTCCCGATACGGGTGAGTGTAGATAAACCAAACACGATAAAGGGATCTAAGGTTCTGGGTTAAACCAAAAGGCCCCATCAGCGAGTCAGCAAATTATCTACATTATCTAGTTATCTACAAATCATACTATATAATGAATATTTGTCAAATAATAAATTACATATATATTTAAATATATTTTATAGTTATATGGAATCCTTGGATCGATCGTTCCCGTGAGATGAGCGACTTTGGCGACGACGAGTTTCCCAACATGTTGTGCGTAGAAGCGGGAAATGTGACCTCTCCCGTGATTCTGCTGCCGGGCACTGCCTTCGAGGCCAGCCAGATCCTTCAGGTAGAGCAGCCGGTGCCGGAGCAACCTTAATCCAACCAATCCTAACCACCTGAACCCTACTACCCCAATCCCAGCAATTCAGATGCCCCTATACTAATAATCCAAGCATCTAGAGAGGCAACCTAACCGGCTTTATTGAATACGTCTTGATTCCGTCTTTAACCCGCATCCACCTCCATACTATTCCAATTCAAATTCTTTACTTTGCATGCTATCAGATCATCATCGAGGGCAATGTCAGTCGCAAGACCAAGCGGAATCGCTAGCGTTTAAAGAATCGGAACCCGATGAGGTAAACCGATTCGCAACCATGTCAAAGCGCACTTTTATGTAGAGATTTTTGAGCGATCCTTGGACTAGCTCAGCAGGCGAGGATCCACACCAGGAGGAGGAGGAGGAGGAGGAGGTGAATGAAGATGAGGGAAAGGAACTATTATGTTTGTTCACTTCTTCATGCATAAATTCTAGACTCCAATTTATAACTTAAGTAATCGTAAAACTCTCTAGCAATATGTAGTGCTAAGAATGTTAAAAGAACATGCACTTGCCAGCCTAGTTTTCCATCTTAAGTGCGGTGAGAAGGGATATGGTTTGTAAAAAGTTTAAACATTCCCAGACACCTAAAACTAAATGTGAATTGATAGTTATTTAATCATGGTTTTTGGAGCATGAAGTGACTTGGTATTACAGGTGCCAGGCTTTCTGTCACTATAATTATTAATTTTTCGTCTTCTTTGGCCTCTTAATATTTGAATTTACGATTTTACAACGGACCTGCAAAAGTTCGCTTCGTTCGAAAATAACATTCATTGTGATGATCTCACTTCCTGCTTCGAAAATTACTTATTCAGCTAATAAAGGTGAACTAAACTAATGTATGTATGTATATTGGGCACTACTAGCTCTGGTCAGCACCCAATTCGTAAACGTGTATACGATTGAAAATAGATAACAAACATAAAGATTTAAATTAAATATGTGTAATATACTAAATGAAATTATATGTACGAAACAATGTAATAAACCATTTATGAACCCTAATTTAAATGTTTCCCTGGTCATTTTGGACTCGTGTAAGTCTTATAAATTTATAAAAATTTTAACAATATTTGAAACAAGTTTAGATGAATGATGTACATTATGAATTCTGCAAAGGTTTCATATCAAAGAATAAAAAGATATTCGACCAGTGACCCTCGGGTTTAATTCTTAATTTTTGTTATGACCATCAATATGCAAATCTATCTAGAATATATAAAACAAATTAAGTACTGAGTACTGTGCATAAAGTTATATATATTTCGATTAATTCTTAAACAACAAAATTTAATTCTTTCAGATGAGATCACTTTAAATTACATCTTGTTAGGTGACCTAAAAATAATGGTTTTATCCGGATCACTTCCCAAAAAAGTTTTTTGGTGACCGCTAGTATGTCTAAAGTGGATCATAAGTTATGCAAAGGCCAAGAGAATTTCGTTAAAGATTTATACAATTATTGACAATATTGGGCGAAAAGGCAATTATTAATTTTAATGTTTTTCATGATTTTGAGTTTAAATTCTGTAAAAGAAACTTTTTAGCGAAAATTAAAAATGAACTTTGAGACTCACTGACTTACATATGCGTGTTACTCCAAATTATAAGTTCATTACGAAAAGAAGGGATGGATTCCGGTATACATTGAAACGTTTTTTACAATATAACCATATCTTTGATTATTTTTACTAGTTTTCAGGTGTAATCTACGACCTGTAGGATTGTTTTTAATGTGATAAATCAGAATTCATAGGAGTGTATTTCTCGCCTGGTAGGTATTGGTCCGCGCTGCCATCGATATTGAGCCACTCATTTCGATCCGGAACCATTCCTATCGGAATGTGTGTTTGCACAGCCAAATAGAGAGCCATACTGATGTTGGACATAATGATTGCTTTATTGGACATTATTTTCTTCTGAAAAAATATATATATAAATGTATACAGCACTGCAGAATTCTGGCACTTTACTCAATCAATTGGAGCTCACATTGTAATGCCTACTTTGGGGGACTGCGGCAAAGATGACCTGATAGGTGAGTAGGGCACCGATAACAGGGAGTAGAACTCTGAATACAAAGCTAAACATTTCGAAAAGCGTGTTCGCTGATCTATTCCGAATCAGTCGTCGAAAAGTACTGAAATGAAAATAATGCTCGGCGGGTTAACGATTGAGCCGTTCGTTGTACGCGGTTTTCTGCGAAGAAATTTATACCTGCACAGGTGTATAATTAAGCTTAGTTTATTTGATTTTTGTTTTTTTTTATGAGTGGCTTAGATTAGATTTTTTACATACATATATAAATTAGGCATTTCTATAAAGTATTACTAAACGCAACTCTCTCGTAAATCGAGCCACCTCCGTGGGCTAAATATCTTGCTTTCGACTTAGTGGGAGCTGGGACACGCAGGGAATCGTTAGTAGTTTTTTGTTTTATTTTGAGGCGCAGCTGAACGAGGCTTGGTACAGTTGCTTTATAAATATATATGTGGTCAAATGATATTGCAAGGATAGTTTGGTGTTCAGCGTGACGTGGGGATGACACAAGAGCTTTTCTTAGTCGATCTTCACAGCTCCGTAGATTCTCAAAATAAAAACGTAGGCGGCAAAGAAGCCAATCGATCCGGTCAGCAGCCAAAAGGTTAGCACCATGAGACCTGTTGTACTCAAGATTAGATCGTGCATATTCGGTAACCTAAGGTTGTCCTACTTACCCGTGTACCCCAAGTAAAGCAGTGTTGGTATAAACTCTGTGATCTCCAGTTTGGTGAAGAAGTAGAAAATACTGTAAAAGAGGACATAGACGGCCGAGCCTCCGGACACAACGAAGCTGCGCCACCACCAACGATAGTCCTGCAAAGACGAATGATTGTATTAATGTGATCGCAACACAAAAAAATTAAGCCAGTCTCACCTCGCCACACAGCTGGAAATATGTCATGACTATGGAGATCTGGGCGCAGCTTACAACTAAGATGCAAAACACCAAAAAGAGAAAGCCAAACAGATAGTAAAACTGATTCTGCCAAATGGCCGTGAACACAAAAAAGAGTTCAATGAAGACGGCCCCGAAAGGCAAGATTCCAGCCATTAGTGTGCTAAAAAACAACATAATTTAAATCCGATGAGTAAAGCTTTGAATTCTTAGATAGAAAAACAGTTCTTACCTCAACACGGCATTCATGTACCAATGCTGTGTGGGCACCTGTCGCGGGATCATGTTGGTGCGCACTGGATGCTGGTACGGTTGCTTGCGGTAACCCAGGTAGAAGCCCAGGTAAACCAATGGCACCGAAATGCCGAACCACAGCAGCAGAAGCGATATCATGGTGGTAAAAGGCACAGCACCACTGGATGACTTGTCCCATATAAAAAAGTTCAAAAAGAATCCAGTGCTGCGTAAAAAGGGAATACCAGGTCAGATATTGAAGATGTAATTCCCAAGCTCCTTTACTCACCCAAAGACAATGCCTGGATAGAGGGTGGCGGTGAGGAAGGCAGCCCGCTTCCACTCGCGACCCTTCATTGTCTTGTAGAGCCGTGCCGCGTAGTAGCCAGCAATGGTGCCCATGAAGACATACATGAAAATTCCCGAGGTCATGAGGGCTCCCCTCGACGATGGCGACAGCATGCCCAACATAGCGAAAAATATGGTTATCAGCGACATGAAGAATATCTGAATGCCGCTGCCAATTATCGCCGAGAAAAGTCGCGTGTTCTTCGGTGGACGGAATACGTCGCCGTGGACCAGCTTCCAGCCGGTCTCCTCCAGCGTGTCCTCAATGTTGTCATCCGTGTTGTAGCGCGCAATATCCCGTCGCAGCGTACGGATCATGATCATGGTGAGGATTCCAGAGAGGAAGAAGACCACCACCAGGGAATTGATGATGCTGAACCAATGGATTTGGACGTCGCGCATGCCCAGGTATATGTCCCAGCGCGAGGCCCAACTCACCTTGGACTCCTTCCACTCCACGGAGTAGGTGAAGTACAACTGAGTCTCGCCGTTGGGATTCACCTGCTGTGGCCGAGCACTGTCCGGGAAGTTGCAGGTGTCGCCGTGGAACTTGAGCTCCTTGTGGCTGACCGATACCGTTTCCACCTCGAAGCCGACAACTCGGTACTTGTCCTTGGAGTGCATATGGTAGGACAGTATGAACCTTAAGTGGTTGTTTATGTAGATGTTGTCCCCCTCCACCTGGCCAAGCCGATAGCCATGCTCGTAAGTGACCTCCGAGGGGTTGTTAACGTTGACAATGCGTGTGGCCACCGGCAGGTTATCCACCAGCAGGTGGACAAAGTACTCGTGCTGGATACGCTCCGCGACTAGTGCCGACTCCTCCTTGCTCCAGGTCAGCGGTCTATCCTTCTGGTTGCACAGCAGACGACAGTTGACCTGCTGGTTCATCCGGACCTCGTACGGCGTGTTCACGATTCTGTCACCGCGCAGCACTTCTCCCAGGTTTTCCGACTTGAAAATGAACGTGCCATGCTTGGGGTAGCAGAACTTGAGCGAGTAGTACTGGTAGGGCAGCTGGGTGCGGCTGCTGGTCATCTTCACCGCTTTCACGTCGATCTTCTGGTCCTGGACGAACTCCACCGGCGCCACGCCGGGCACGTAAAAGCCGTCCGCCACCACGCCGAGGGCCACCAGCAGGCCCAGCAGCAGCCATGGCCGTCTAGCCACAGCCCCTGACTGCGAAAATAGAGGTCTTGCATTACTCCAATTGGCACCAACATAATTTCCATCCGTTCTGGCTGCGTGTCCCCTGCCCACGTCGCAGCTGCAGTCGCCTATTTCGGGGGCTACGCTGGCATAGGGAGCCGGCCAACTCACCTGCATGGTTCGACGCGTGTGGATTTGCTTTAAAGGGACCCCTCGACCTTTCGTTGACTGCAATTTTGTTAAAAAAAAGTGTAAAGTTCCTGCGTTTTCCTGCAAATTTTTTGGTTTTCGGAAATTATAAAATATAAATATATTTTTTGAGATTTTGTTTAGATATATTTTTGGTCACTCTAAAGTCCGACGCTGTTCTTTAACATTCTACATCTTTCACGTCTAAATAACCATTTACACATAACCATTTTACACGTTTACAGATACTTGGGGTCGAATTTTCACTTTTGGGGTCGAATTCTCATGTAAAATGTAAAATTCGTAACATGGCCGATCTCTTCGCTCTCGGGTGCTGTCGGGTGGATGTTAGTTAACATAACTCACTCGGGGTCTGTCAAGTGTCGGTCGTTTTTGTATTGTTGAAAATATATAAAATACCAATTGACCAATATATTTGTTTGGATTTTGTTGATATTTTGTTTCTGGTCACTCTGAACCCCGAAGCTGTTTTTTTTTTTTTTTTTTTAACATTTAACATGTGTAGATAACATTTTACACGTAATCAGGAAATGTACGAAAAGGGCCAAACATCGTTTTAAATTCAAATTAATATTGGAAGAGAGTAATAGGCAAATAGTTTAAAAAGGCCTGTTCGAAGACATAAAATCAAAGTGCCAGAAAATTGCATCCTGGGCTGTCGGAATTACCGCGGTTTTTTACATTTTAGTTTTCTAAAATGTTGATATAATACATTCTGAGTTCAGTTCTCTCGCTTTCCCACCTAAAATTAAAATCTTGAAATTAAATTAAAATCATGAAATACATATGTGCTGCATGTATATCTAAAATCATCTCTATTTGAGTGTGATTTTCAAGCGCTTGAATGTTGGAGCTATTTTGATTTCATGAAAACAGGCATTCACTATGAGCCCCTCATCTTTGCATGAGCTCAGTGCTTTCTCTAGTAAATCGTCCTTTTTATTGCCTTGGTTTACAGTGCAAATAAATGCAGGGATTTCGCTTTTAATGCGCCTCTCATTACATTTGTAAATGTACATACATATATATATTTTTCATTTTATTATTTGCTCATTGCTACATTCTCCTACTGCTTTTGCAAATTCACCGTCTTTCAAAACCGATAGAAGGAAACGGTCCTCTAGAGCGCCAGGGTATACTGGGATCAAGTCTGCTGTGCATCTATTTATTTAAATCAGTTCCGATTTGAATGTTACTGCATCGATTTTGTTTTTTTTTTTACTTATTTGTTCATTGCGCACTTTAAATGTTGCATTCAAAAGGCTAAAGCCGTGCGAACTTGTTCAAAAATTTGATATGGGTTGGCTAAAGATGTGTATGATACAGGAAAATAATAATAGTAATATTAATAAGAAGACTTGCTTTTGCCGGTAATTTAATTATATAATCTACACTTTAATTTTGTATACATTTTTGAATTACTTACATTGATTTTGTCAATTTTAATAAGTAATAATTAACATTCCCGTGCTTTGTACTTTTACACGTTTACAGAACCATTTTACACTCAATACGGTCCCACAAATAAGCGGTTAGCAATGAGTTGTTTTGTTAGCGTTATCGATAATAATGATTGTTGGAGCGAAAATTGAATTTCAATTCTTGAGCCCAAAGAACAGCATATTTAAAATACCTAAATGCAAAGCAAAAGCAACAGCAGTGAAATTCCCCATAGTAGTGATAATAGAGCTTATTTTTAGCTGCACTGTAAATAAAAGTTTGCGTTCTTTTGTTCCATTCATAAACTTCACGAAAAATTTAAAAGATGTTGGTTATTTGTATTAATGTTTCCATTTATAACTTAACAAAGAAAAAATTTATTGATTATCTTCCTTCATGAATGAATGTTTCTCTCGCCCCCATAAATAAAATATGCATTGCATTAATACGAATTATACAACAACGCATGAATAAATGTAATTTTAAATCGTTAAGCTCTAGAAAACAAACGCATTTAATTAATTCAATTTAAAAATGGCATTATCCGTTCATATATTCACATGTGTGAGCAAACAAACTGTTTGTTCCGAGGGTGACATTCTATACGAACACTTGTAAAACACTCTCGACTTTTCAGTATTTGCAGAGCGTTGTTTCGGCTTTCATTTGCACAATAACAACAAATACTCAAGTAACTACGACAGCTTTAGCAGGATCAACAATACAATAAACATTAATGCTTAAACACAGACACATAAACATAAACATTTATGTCAATAAAATGAACTGATGCTTGACCCGTTCGGTCAGATAAAATGTCTGCCAAAAGCAACCCTCCTGGCATACTCAGACCTATGTACATACATATGTACACAATATCTGTACGGTTTCCACAGGACAAGGCCATAAAGGAAAAACATCAGGTTGTTTTTATATATAAATAAAATCAATGTTGGTTAACATTATTAAAAAAGGTAGGTAGGTAACCTACCTAACGTATACTTTTAGATTTAAATTCGCCATTACCTCTACTTCAAAATCTATATAATTTTGGGAATGCAGTGAGAAAAGACTTATTGAATGTTTAAAAAATAATATATATATTTTTTTAATAAATACGTTATTTGTAAATTCTTAAAAAATTATATAGTTTTCATTAATTTTGGGATTTTATAATTGAAAAAAAAAATTTTTTTTAAATGGTAGTTAGCCAAACACTAAGCTGAATGTATTCCTAAAATAAATACCATAATAATAATATCAATTTTGGTATTATATTTTTTATTAATTCGCTTACCATGTTATGTTAAACTTATTGTTGTTTAAAAGTTTATTTATTCATTACTCTGACGCGACATGTTTAAACTTATATTTACGGCGCTACTCTCAATAGATTTAATTTATATTTTACTCTACCTAGTTTAACATTGCTTATTCATTATTTCCTTTTTACTTTTCTTTTTAAATGTACATAGTTAAAATACACACGAGCTAAAACTATAGTAAACATTTAAACAGTTTAAAGCTAATGGGAACTTAATTTAAGGTTGAATGCAAAAGTAATTTAACCAAATTTGTCTTTGCTTTGTTCGCCACTTTTGTTAAAGTTTTATGATATTCCATTAATTTACATTTGCTTCAGGGAGGATTATATGTAGATGGGGAGGCTAATTGTGTTTACATTTTAATATTAATTAAAAGCGAAAAGATTTATGAAACAACTTTTTTGTGAGGTTTAAATAGCCATATAAATGCGGCTTACAATCAGTTTTTGCCCGTTGAAAGAGGGGTTCACAGTTGTGTTAAACTTGTGTAATACTAAAATTTTAAAACAATTAAGGGAGTGCTATATATAACAGATTGGATTTTAATTAAATTATGTGCGACAATTAGTAAAGCCATAAATATTAATTGAAAAATCTAAAAAAATTTAAACTACTAATTAAAGTATTTTACATCTCCAGCCTACATTCATGTACATACAAGTGTTTTTATTTGTATCATATATTCACCATATTTCCTTACCAATTTTCAATAAAAAAAAGCTCAATTTAAACACTAATTGAAATTCGGAACAGTCGGGGAATTTAATGTTGAAATTTTAAAACTTGCATTATTTAATAATTGTCGCATTTAAAATAATCGAGCAATGCTGAGTTCCCTCCCGGCAGAGGTATCGAATTCCCCGAGTTCCCAAAAATCTACACAACATCGGATACATATTTAATGAATATCAATAAAAATTGCAATACTTGTGCAACTGGGCAAATATATTATGATGCTGTTGCTGCTCCTGCTGTTGGTCTCCTGCTCCCTCGACGAGCATATTCTTCATTTCAACGCGACCCAAATTGCATTTTTAAATATACCGACATGCCGACGCAAGAGGAGCTGAAAAGCATTTGCAGTAATAAATAAAAAGGAAATAATAAATACGCTGCGCCAGAAACTTACAAATGCACAGAATGCTGGCAATAGACAAAACAAGGAATGGAAAATATTTGAAAAAGCTTTTAAGTGTTATTGATAGTTTAGCTTGGCTCCGCAAATACGGTTCGGGCCGGGCCGGCACGGGGGTGCTCTTCGATGGAGCAGCATTTCGTTCCATTTGTTTTGTTTCGCTTTCCGTTTTGCATTTGCTGATTTTAGACTGTTGTTTTTTGCTCTGCTCCTGTTGCGGATTCATTGCAGCTGAGCGAATCGCTTCCGGTTATTTGAATGCTAACAAATACAAATGGCTGGGCGTTTGCTGCTCAGTTAAAACGCATCGTTGGTGGCCACACTCAACAGTTGTTTGACACCATTTCCATTGTCCTTCTGCGAAGCGGAACAAGGAACATGGTCCAGAAATTATTTCCCACATCTGGCTCACATTTTAAATCTCTCAGTAGATGAAATCAGCTTTTATTTATTTGTATAACCGGTATTTGTAGGCTACAAAGGCTTCTCCGATCTCATAAAGACTATAGTCTTGTTCCTCTGTCAAAATATCTCAGAGAATACACATAAGTGTATAAAGTTAGATCTATAAAATTTGGTAGTATGTAATTAAGACATTTGTAAGAAAGCTCTATGTTGGTTTTAGCGTTAAACAAAAACATAAAACAAATCGTTTTTGTATCAGAATTTTCGCTGATATATCTCGAATAAAAATTGAAACTATGGCAATACAAAATACAACTTTTATTCAAGGGTTTTTATTTATACCAATTGCTAGATTGATATTTTATAACATTTGTTAAAAAAAAAATCGACCGGAATATTACATGACACTGAAAACTGCTTTTATCCTAAACAGACTTTTTTTAGTGGAGCACACCTGACAATAGCTAGCGAAAATATTTTAAACATGAATATTAAGAGTCTTTATTAGAGATTTGGATTGGATGTTAGTTAGTGCGTAAAAGATTACTAATCTAAGCGAATCAACATATGAAGTTATTTTTCACATTCATGAAAATTACATTACTTAGTATTCTTATTTATTCACATTAAAATATACTTACATTTATTTAAAATTGGTCTTTTCAAAATTGAAAGAAAATGTTGATCCATACATTTAAGTACAAAACGTAAGGTATTATATTGTGTTTGTTTACTATTTATAACACACATTTCTCACATATTTGTGTTGTTTATTTAATGCTAAGAGAAAGAATCAAGTGTG